CTGGCCCCACTAACACCTCTTTCAGTAGGAGCCTTAGCATTCCCAGGAGGTCTCCCATCCAGGTACTGACCAGGCTCACACCTGTTGAGCTTCAGAGGGTCGCCAGCTGTGAGTTGCAGGGCGATATGGCTGTTGGCACTTGGTAAAACAGGTGGCATCTACTGTATGTCTCAGAGACCAGTCAAAACGTTTTTGTTTTTCAGGCCCTATCCAAGTAATAGGAGAGAATTCAGCAAGACTGTAATTGCTAACTGGTGTAAAGCATGCGTGAGTGATATACAATACAGCTAGCATTCCTTTCAACAATAGCCACACATGTGAATAGTTTAGTGTTAAAAGTCTCAGCCCTGTGTTGATCAGCTCTGTTGATGACAAATGTTAATTAGTCCAATTAATTTACCCATGTATGTCCAATAAAATGTCAGCACACCTGCTCCAAAAATTATTCCTGATACAGTATTAACTAAATTTGTTAAAGGTTTAAGTGGTAAATATTCTGATGCTCAGTAAACTATGAGCTCAGTCCTCTGCAAGAAACCTTTCTCTGAACTATTTCTTTAAAAGGCTATCACTTACACTGCGCATTTTTTACTCTCAATGTTTTCATTGACGTTCACAAAGACTGTACTACAAGTTATCCTACTACTTTCAAAATAACAGCACGAGTAGGGGACAATCTTTACAGGAGGTCCAGACTATATATATGACTGTTCATCTTATTTTATTATTTTTTTTTATTTCAAGAAAATAAATAACTGATATAAAAAATACAAATGAAGGGTGAAGCTCACTTTTTCTCGGAGTCTGTGATCGCAGACTATTTCCACACCGTGGCTGTGTCTGCTTTTCCGAATGATTATGTCCGCTGTCTGAAAGGCAGAAATGACACATCAAATCAACAGAATGCCCTTTAAAAATGTCCTTTAAATTAAACACCTTGGGTTCTCTTAGGATTCATCTATTCCTAGTCCAGAAATTAACAACAATTACAAGAAACTCCTTTCTTTTTTTTATCAAAGTCACTTTCCATTAGGAACAGCTCTGCGGTTACAAAATGATGCAATAAAGGCACTCAAACGAAACACTATAAATGTACATGAATGTTCCTATTGTGGCTTAGAATATACAGTTGTCTTTTATCTTAAATTGAATTAACTCCTATCTTAAAAGAGTGAATTAATGTCGCTAGTTCATTGTGAACTATTACTTCCATATTTCAATTGTTCACCCAGTATTAAGAAGCCTGAGGAAAACTCTGGGGCTGTTTATTCTATCAAACTTTCCCATAAAACCTATACTTTCTTTTATAGTTTCATACTTTGTTTTAAGAGTTTCTTTAGTTGAACTATTTCTGGGCTGTTTAGGGAGCAAATCAAGAATTTGGAAAGAGGAGGCAGGTTATTTATGTGTGCATAAATAACTGGTCAATACTCTCATCCTCTTGTTGGAGTCCAGGGGTGTATTCCCCCTCATGCATTGTTTTGCATTGTGGGGAATTCTAGAACAGGTCTGGCCTAATATAAACTGATGTTCCTTAAAACATATCTTTATGCACAAAACATAAGAAACGTTACTAACAAGAGGGCCTTCTGGCCTGGTAGGAAGTTAACAGCTTACTGATCCAAGGATCTCATGTAGGCGACAGGGCTTGTTCCACACTCCCACAACGCTTTGTGTAAAGAATTGGCTCCTATTCTTAGGTTTAAAATGTACTTTTACGTAATTTCCACTTGTGCCCTCTGGTGGGTGTTTCAATGGTCATTTTAAAGAAATCTGCTGCGTTCACTTTATCTAAAAAGGTTTATTTGTTTCAGTCTGTCATTCCTATGAGTTTAAATGCTACCTTGATGGTTGCTCTAAAGGCTTCTTGAAGATGAATCTTGAAGATATTTGGCGAGTTTTTTCAAATACCAACATAAAGACACTTTTTATATATCATTGCGCCCGCCCAATGAATACGTCAGTAAGTATTTTAGTAAAGATAAATAAATCTAGAATACAAATCAAGACTGACAAATGCTAACCAGCTACTTTAATGAGAAGTCATACACTGCAAAGAATTCAACAAGAAATCCCATGATTTCAGAAATATCATAGTACATCTACAATATATTGGATAAAATAGATGAAAAGCTTTTATCTAAGCTCACTGGGTCATAGCAGTAGAGATCTGTAGCCAGAAATGCAGTATCTTTGATGTATACTCTTTCATTACAAGAAGAAATGTCATTTCATTATATTGCACATACATTTAAGTTTTTTTATGCTTTCATTTTTCTATTATTATTTGGAATTTAATCTGAAACATATTTCTGTATAATGGAACACAGTTTCCTCTACAGCACACTACTTACAGATGTTTCTTGCAATTTGAATGACAGTGGTGCTGCTGTAGTTAGTATAAAATACATTTTCTGGCAAATTGCTGTTTGTACCATGGTGAATAATTACTAGCGGCAGAAAAAAGAATCTGCCTTTCCACAATATATCCCTGCAAACAGACTAATGAAAGTCAAAAACAGATAAGCCAACTAATTATTGTTTGGAGTAACCCAAAGGAAATTTTGCTAGTAGCTAATCCTTCTGTGGTGTCCCTTTAAGGTTAACATTCAGATTTTGTAGGTATATACAGGCACCAAAATGCTTTTGACGGCGCCTTCTTCACAACCACATTTCAAATTCTGACAACATATCTAAGAACAGGATGAAAAAAGGCCAAAATACTTCATTTTTTATTTTTTTTAAATCTTTAAAGGACTATACGTTTAGAGGCGTAATTAAACTTTAAGCCCTTTACCATGCTGCCCGACCTGCTAAGGTGGAAAACTTAAGCACTACGACAGCTTCTGCACTATTCCAGGGTCTCTGGCATAACACCTCACAACCGTCTGTGAATGGAAACTCTACCAGGCTTCTCACATCACGTCAAAGCCCAGTTTCCGTGACAGTTACGCATATTTAAATAAGTTAGTTGTTCTAGGCAGGCATTAACAGCACTTACGTAGATACAAATAGCACTCTGCTACCTAAATCTTTACTTTCCATCCTGGAACTGATGTTTTCTATATTTACAGATTTTCCGGGGCATGTACTGTAGGAACCCTGTTTACTAAAAGGAGGTAAAAGGTTTTTCATCAGAGCAACATGGACGCGAGGAGTCAATTTAAATTAATGTGAGAAAGGAGATGGAGCACAACCAGAGATCCTGTGGCGATATGTTTTACAAGACACATTTTCCCCATAATTACCATTGTGATGATGAAGGATATGCAAATTAGAAAACCAGCAGAAGTTATTTAAAATGTAGGCATACAAACCTGGGCTGTTGTACAGCAACTTGTATGCCTGACTTAAAACTACGTTCGACATACAAAAATATTTTAGTCTTAAAACGTGTGCCTCGTGTACCCACCAAACATACATGTGTTTTTTAAGATACAAACAGGCTTAACTCACACCCCTAATAAAGAGTAGACCTAAGTATTTAGTCTGAGGCATCAATTATTTTTATACAGGAAGAATGTCCTGTATATGAAATCGAAACACTTAAAGTAAAAGAATGTTGCATTTAATACTTAAGACTTCAGTACCAGCAAGCAATGAGATGAGAACTCAATTAAACCTTTGGACAAATTCTAACACATTTCATTGATGAGACTTCATGGAATTAACAGAGATGCTAAGACTGGCTGCACTTAAAGTACTTAAAAATATAGATTACAGTTCCAAAGCTGTTGATTTAAGGACAAATATTGGGGATTTTGCCTTTTCACTTTTTAACAGAGGCATCTCTCACAATTCATCTTTGAGGAAATTTCAGATTACTGTTCTATTTAAACATATTTTATTAAAGATACACTGTTGTAGTATATAAAAGTCATTTCTCTATTCAAAAACTTTAATTCCTACAGCTGCAAAACACCCATATCAGATAGTAAGAAATTGCGACAGCCTTGCATGTGATGAGTTCTGATCCTGACTTCCCGAAAGCAAGACCCTTCATCAGTCAGTGACTATTACTCAAAACAATGCATAGCTTGTAAAGGAAGACAACTGAGTCCTGTAATAAAAAAAACGCCAGTCTTAAATATCTATATAGTATTCACATGAATGAATCTTGCATACATACGTTGATATCTCAATGTTTGAGATTGACCAGCATTTGTTCAATCCCTAAGAACTATCGTGGCCAGAACAGTTGACAGACATCTGTCAAATACTGTTCCAAGTCAAGAACACACTGCTTGCCAAACAGAATCTACTCATTAAACTGAGAGTTCCTCATATTTGATAAACCTATAAACCTGAGTATTTAACTGTTTAAGCCTACCTATACATTAATAAAACTCTATATTTTAGCCTCCTTAGAGACTTAGTACATATCAGTGCTACTAAACCTATTGCACGTAAAAAGCATTGCATGTTTCTTACTCACCTGCTTGGCACGCTGCAGATCACTTGAGAACACATTCGTGAACTTCAAATCCTTGAGGTACTGACCTGCGGCTTCTGCTTGCCTCACCCCCAGTGCAGACAACGGCTCATCCACACCCTGACCTTAAGTGACAAGAGCAGTAAAAAGCACAGCGGTTACCAACCAGTTTAACAACGTTAAGATTCCAGACCCAGAGAGGCCAAAACCTCACTCATCAACTGTGCTCAGACTTACAAGATGTGGATATGTTCATAATTGCACAAATCATGTGCTTGTCCATACAACTGATTCAAGATTGATGATTTAAGGGCGACCCATAAACCTGCCTGATAGTAGCTTATGAGGATAAAACACTTTTCTGGTCACCCTGCTCTATTCAGAGCTAGAAGTAAACTTAATGGGCTTATGTCCCCCATCCACTGCTGAGAAGACAAAACACGATTTGTCGGTGGAAACTGATCCACAAAGATTTCTTTCTGGCCTGTTTAGGGAATTGGTCAAAAACATACCTTCAGAAAATTCTCCCGAGCACAAGCAACAAAAGAGGCCAACAAAGCAGTTGATAACTAACTTACAGTCTTCATCTGATTGCACTTTTCATCCTGAAGGATTCCAAAACTGCTGACATACAGAAGACCCACTTCATCCAAAATTGACGTGCAGCACCCACCTGGGTGACTTGTGGCAGGCATTACGTATCAACAGCCCGACTATACAGCACATCAAGAAGAGAAGTGAGAATCCCTCATTATCTGAATTAAGGGGGGAAACTTCGATGAGCGTGCAACCGTGTTGGAAAAGCAGGATGGATCCTACAAGGATCACATCCTTGTGATGGCATGGGCATAATGCGAATAGCGCTGCATGACGTGCACTTTAAGTTAAAAGCAAATAATACAACGACCATACAATGGGTTTGAGATTTTGATCCTAAGGTTTTGCCAGAACACTGCCGACACAATAGCAGCACTAGATACTGTCCATCCATCCATTTTCTAACACTTTATCCAATTCAACATCGCAGGGGAACCAGAGCCTACCCTGGCAAGTCATGGGCGCAAAGCAGGATACACCCTGGATGGGATGCCAGTTCATTACAGGGCAATAGATACTGTCCTCAGTCAGAGAACTTTGAGAGTTTCCACTTGTCGTTTCCATTTAGATAGAAAGTTTTTTTAAAGTTTCTTATGTTTGCAGCAAAAGACAAGCAAAGGTTCCAGGGGAGACTGTGGTATCGATCAAGCCTACGTCGCTGATGCGTTCGACAACAATGTGGAACTACTTGCCATCACCAAGTTGTGCACATTCCCCAGCCCTGGCAACGCAGATATCAGTTCAGTTCAGTTTATTGTCATCTGCACAAGTGCAATGAAATGCTGATTTGCGCGTATGCTCCAATACAAAGACATTAGGGAAACACCAAAAACATAAACACAGAGCATCAGGAGCAGCAACAAGTTATATAACATACAGCTTAAAGAACAAAACACCAGTGGGAGCCAGGGGTGGGGGGTAGAGTTCAGTAATCTGCCAGCCTGTGGGAAGAAACTGTCTCTGAACCTGGATGTTCATGCCTTTATAGTCCTATAACGCTTACCAGAGGGAAGGGGAGAGGAAAAAAAATGACTGGTATCCTTAGCGATACTTCCAGCCTTCCATCCTGAGACAGCGAGTTGTAAAAATGTCAGAAATAGAGGGGAGCTGTACTCCAATGATGGACTGGGCTGACCTGATCACCCCCTGTAAGGCCTTCCAGTCAGACAACGAGCTGCTGCCAAACCACACTGTAATACCACACGTGAGCACACTTTCGGAAGCGCACCTGTAAAAGGTGGTAAGGACAGTTGGTAAGGACAGATAGCTTGGGGGTAGGACATTCTCACACAACTTGTAGGGTTGCAATGCCACTGTCCTGTCTGTTATGGCACCAGAGGAGGACATCGGGGGGGGGATGGTTGTTGACTGAAATGAAACCCATGTCTACAGAAACGTCTATAACTACAAGACTACTTATCCAGAATTGCAGATTATTGTCTCAGCTTTCATTCATATTCTTGGGTGCAACAGAATGGATTCTACTGTGGCTGGAGAATAGTTCCAACTACTGCAGTCTGAAAGCTACAAACAGTAATTTAGAGGACATCTCCGGTAAAGACAACTTTCAATTAATCAGCGAATAGGCTTAAGTGATTAGTTATACTGATGTCATAACAGGTACTCCACCCTCAACATGCTATAAAATCTGATAATCTGATATTTCCTCACGTAGAAGTCGTCATATCCATGATAATCGGCCGCTAATCCCCCAAAAATCTCTACTACACATTTACTACACAAATTTCCCCAAGAGCAAAAGTTAGAAAAAATATAATATTAAAACTACAATTACCTTGCAGCAGTCTCTCCTTATTGTACCTTGTTTCGCCACTAAGAGAAAATGATAGGACAGGAAAACAGGTCAACAGAAGATTCTATTAATTCTACTGCCAGCTAAATTAAGCCTCATTTCCTTACCGACTCCATCATTATCTCCTATACGGGAATTCCGAGTTTAAAATCACTGAATCACCCATTAATTTATAACAAGATCTTTTTATAATGTGAAAGATCATTTAAAAGTCCTATAGTTTAAAGTTCCAGTCGTGGAACATTAAAATGTCGATGAACCTCACGAATAAATCATTCTCAGATTATATATAAGGAAGACAGTAATTAAAATTAATAACCCTGTGGAAGGCTGTTTTTCCCTCTAGCGTAAAAATATGCTTTAACATTGTACATTTGTTTTAAAATCACCGCCTCATTACTTTTACATACTGAAACCAAGCAACGGTCTTTCAAATCTCCTCACGTTTATTCAGATTTTTCATTCGTTTTCGGTTTGGCATACTATCGCAGATGCTTGAGGTCAAACAGAATGAAACTCCTCAATGAATAGTCGGTAAGGAAATTAACACAAAATATATACAGTGTATATATATATGCAGCCAGCTCCACATTTCGGAAGAACTTCCATTCTACGTAGTGAGTAGCAGACCAAAATGCCACCGGTTTGACAACCTGTCATTCATGTTAAAACAGGACATTCATTTGACCTTACAGCGTGTAACATTTCACAGCAACGTTGAGGTTTGTCATGCGGCTGCTACAGTACAAAGACTCCAACACGTACAATACCAACCCAATGTTGTTAACCCATGCATACGATTTAAGTATCATCGCTTTCATCAATTTGCGTTGGATATCCTTCTTTTGGGGGGATGGGGGCTTTTTTTTTACAAATTCATTTTCAATTTCAAAAGGAAAGACCGAAATGCAATATTACAGTAGTCGCTCTGCGCCTATTTCTGGTTCACCTAAGGAAGCTAATCGAGCTGAACGTTCACGCCGGACCCTCTTAACCTCTGAAACTGTGTGCATTTCCTCCGAGCAGCTGCTCACTGAGGGACTGTACTTACTGTCGGACAACTGTTAAGCCAAATTTAAGCATTTTTCATGGAGTTACAATCTCGTGGAAATGCTTTTACTCCCGACCCTCTTCTCCACAGATCCCCGGTGTGTGGTGCAGTGCAGGGTTTGGACGGATGGACGCTTACTGAAGTTTTAGCTATTGACTATAGTCCCTGCGTGAGGTAGCCAAGCCAAAATAGACCAATTATATTAAAGGCAAAGAAGGAAGCCATTGTATTTAAAGGAGCCGTCAATTTTTTTTTATCGTGGAAGTGTGTTCAATGGAAATGCTCTGAATAATGTTGACACTAATTGAAAAAAACAACAACACACACAAACGAATAAAAACAATGACAAATCATAGATTACGCAGAAATCGGGTTTTCATTCTTGGGTTCAGTATGTTTTTTCTGTGCTCAAAAAAGAAGCTTTGTTGCCACCGTGTGGTAACTTGTGAAACAGCAGCTGCCTGTGGAGTTGGTTTGCTTGAACTGCAATTTCAGAACGAGAGGCCAAGCCCACCGTTAGGAAAATACCAGCGAGCATTGAGATGCTTTAACATAGTCTATTTGAAAGCCCGGATCCTTTACTTTTTAATGACGCCTGTTGCACTGTGAAAATGAGTTTCCACAATTATGAAAACGAGCTGCACAGTCAACAACCTCATTACTTCGGTTTGACTGTCTGGGCATCCAGGTAACCTGGGAAGCACATTTCTTTATTGCTCTATTTAGCCAGTTAATTTAGAACAAAGTCTCATTTACAGTCTTGTCCTAGAGAGTATCTGTTTACACAGAAGGGCAATAACGTCAGCCAAATGAGTGAAGTTCTTTGTTGAAAGCTGCAACAACGGAGGAACTGAAAATGTTTCTTTGGCAAAGAGTCAAGTCCAGAGTCCTCAACAATACTCCCAAACTGATGCATTATACCTTCACCTTTTCATCATCACTCAGAAAGCAGCAACAAACATATAGTAAAGAAAATACGTCAAGAAGAAATAATGTCACAGTAAACAAGCACAGTGCAGTTAATTAATGTTGATAGACATAATAGATAGGTTTGGAAACAACACTCAGTGTAACACTAGCCAAAAACCACGGGGGGTTGTTACTGTAATTTATGGCAACACCTTTTTGAACCATACTAATGCACCTAAAATCAACAATCCTGGCACTCAGGAACTCAGATCATCTCTGTTACAGGAGCTGAGCCCAGGACATACAGCAGCTATCAGACGTATTCACCTCCCTTGTGCTTTTCCAAATCCTGTTGGTACAATAGGGAATAATCATGCATCTAATTGGGATTTTTCACCAACTGTTGACACAAATCACATTAATGTCAAAGGTAAAATAGAGTTTATCTACTGATACTCCTAAATTAATAGAAACACAAACACAACGTTTCGGCTGTGGAGCCTTCTTCGGGTGTGACACATTGTACCGAAATGCTGGGTTTCTTTTCTTATCTTTTCAGCATGGAATAGACCTTTACTTGTTCCTTTTGTAGCCTACGCATGCTGACACAGCTACCTACTTGAACTACGCCCAAATTTATGATAAATATAAAACAGAAAATAACTGACTGCACACCCCTTGAGTCAATACACCTTTTTGAACCACACTAAATCACCTGAAAGTAGCAATTCAGGTGCTCAGGAACACACCATTTCTTTTTTTTTAAACAAACATTTATTAATAATACAATACACACAATAAGCAACACATAACATAAACATACAATATACAAGTTGCAATATTTACAAACAAGGTACTGTATGCATCTTGACTAAACAGAGATACCAAGACCACTGCCAAGTATTCAAATCCTTTTTTTTCCCCAGTTGATTCTTTATTAGAATTTACTTTCCCCAAAAGTAAAAATTGGGACCGTCCCCAAGAGACATTGCTGGGTCCTGGTTTAACCTGTCCCTCAGTCTTTAAGGGCTACATCTCTTCCAGGACAGGGTGGGAGCACATCATTTCTGTTACAGAAACTAAGCTGAGGATGTGCATACAGAAGTTCAAGTAGGTAGCTGTCAGCATGTGTAGGCTGCAAAGGAACAGGTAAAGGTTTATTCCATGCTGAAAAGATAAGAAAAACATTTAGGAACAACGTGTCACACCTGAAGAACGCTCCACAGCTGAAACATCGTGTTTCTTGTCTTCTCTTTTCAGCATGGAATAAACATTTATCTGTTCTGAGGATGTACATACTAGGATGTTTTCACAGAGACGAGCAAATGTTTGCCCTTTCACGCTCAGCGATATACTAATTCATCCATGCTTTTTCTAACCACTTCATTCAATTCAGGACTGAATGAAGTCTGAGCCTGAGCCTATCCCAGCAAGCAACAGGTGCAAGGCAGGATACACCCTGGATGGGATACCAGTTTATCGTAGGGAACACACAGACACACACCAGGACCAATTTTCCCAGAAACCAATTAGCCTACCAGTGTGTCTTCAGACTGTGGGAGGAAACCGGAGCATCTGGAGGACACTCACGTGAGTACTGGGAGACCATACAAACTCCACGCAGACAGCACCCCAGGAATTGAACCCCAAGGCCCCAGCGCTGTGAGGCAGCAATGCTAATCACTGCACCACAGTGCCACCCTGAAGTACTAGTCTGCTATGTACAGAATAAGTGTTTGCTCTATAACATAGACAGTAAAAACTACTGGCAGTGGGAAAACAAAATGAAACGGCAATCTACCAATCTACAGTCATTTAATATGGTGTTGGGCTACCATGTACCAGCTAGAATGGCCTGTATGAGCCATGGTTTACTCAAGTCTTGAAATCTCCAAGAGGGATGCAGCACCTTTCTTCCACGAGTATGTCAATCAGCTCACGCTTGATGGCAATGGAAAACGTTGTGTTGAGCATCCTTCCAAAACATTACATAAACACTCAGTATCACGCTCATCAAACCACTGAGGAAGTACGCCTGATCTATGGATGGAGGTGTTGTCACCCTGGAAGACACTCCCCCTCTTGGCAGGAAGGAAATACTGCAACATAGGGAGAAGACGATCACAGCTACCTACCTTTCACAGCTGGAATCAAGCTCTTCGGGTTTATTCGGGTTGGCGCCACACGTAAACATAGTAAAAATGACTCATCTGACCACATTGCTCAGCTTGTGCTCTTTGCAAACTTGCATTGCCAGGCGTGATGAGCGATTTGTACGCTGCAGCCCGACTGTGGTTGATGATATCCTCTTGGATTTCCACGCAGACATCAGTAAGTTGAGTTGTCTTGGTCACTGAAGCTCTTGCCAAATGCATCACAACAGTCATCCCTCTTTCAAACATGATCTAGATGTCTCCTCTTACAGACAAGTCAGTCATAATTTTAGACTACATAATTTTAGCCCACTGAAGCTCAGCAGGTGTGATCCTGGTCGGTACCTGGATGGGAGTCCTCCTGGGAAAAACTAAGGTTGCTGCTTGAAGACGTGTTAGTGGGGCCAGCAAGGGGGCGCTTACCCTGCTGTCTATGTGGGTCCCAATGCCCCATATAGTGGACATGTGGACACTATACTGTAAAAAGGCGCCGTCCTTTGGATAAGACGTAAAACCGAGGTCCTGACTCTCTGTGGTCATTAAAAATCCCAGGGCGTTTCTCGAAAAGAGTGGGGGTGTAACCCCGGCGTCCTGGCCAAATTCCCCATTGGCCCTTACCAGTCATGGCCTCCTAATAACCCCCATCTATGAACTGGCTTCATCACTGTTCTCCTCCCCACTAATAGCTGATGTGTGGTGACCATTCTGGTGCATCCAGGTGGGGCTGCACACTAGTGGTGGTGGAGGGGAGTCCCCATTACCTGTAAAGTGCTTTGAATGGTGTGTCCAAATAAGGGCTATATAAGTGTAAGCAATTATTATTTGCGTGATGGGACATTTCGTGCTTAATACATGAGCCACTCCTATGTGGATACTGTTGCTTTCAGTACATTTGGTGTCCTGCATTGTCCCAGGTGTTTATATTTTTTCCACTACCTGTAGCCTGCAGCGTTTGTCTTGGACTGCTGACCACTGGGAGAAGTCCATTTTGCAGAATCCTTATGTTGTCCTTTAAGGACAATCTATTTACACAAGTCGCGCAATATTAAACACAGATCTGTGTGTTGGTTTTCATCTTATTTTCTTACGTAAGGGCCTTAGGGGGCTTTGCTACTCAGCTTGCAACTTATATGCTTGGAAGGTGTGAAGACAAAACACTTAACCACCCCTGAAACAATCTTACTCAAGCCATCCATTTTCATTCACACTTGAATAAAATCTCAATTCTAAGACCAGAAAATATAAAAAAATAAAAATGAAAACTGCAACATAACAGAGAATAAAAATAACGAATCGAGTAACAGGCTACCAAGCAGTGAGAGAGTTAAGATGAGGGAAGAACAGTCATACGTCTCACACACAAAGGTCATGGTCCTGACAAGTGGCTTTTAATGGCGCAAATATTAAATATTTTGAAAAAGAATACAAACAAAAATAACCTGAAAGCTACACAATGCAGAATTGTGTCACAAGTTTTATACACACAGGGCATTGGCTAAAACGTTTTTGTCTGGACAAATAATGCAATAGATATATTAAGTAATGGAAAAATTAATACTTTTATTTTATTTTGATTCTTTTTAAAACTGAAATAGTTACCATTGTAATTATTATATGAATGTATTGATGAAATAATACAGGGTTTTCTAACACTAGAATATGGTGTATTGTTACCAATACTGGAAATCAACCCCAAATACAAGCCTATTTTGCAAGGTGAAAGCAAATGCTGAAGATCGATCCATGAGGAATTTATATTTTCTTTCAGGACTGAAAACAGAGGCCATGTCCATTGTGGAATTGTGGGTGTCCAGAACAAGAGAACTAGCTAAACAAATAAAGAAGATTCTAAGAAATGAATGGTTTTTGATACTGAATGGTTTACGATAATAGCTTTTTAAAAGATTAAGATAACAGCCTTTTGTCATTTATCAGTCCTTAGTGTGGCCTTTTTAGTTTTTACTGAAATCGCTATAAAAAGATCAGTCCATCCATTTTTAACAGCTTTTTTTTTGCAGATACAAATTAACAGTTGGTGAAAAAAGGAATAAAAGCCATGTTTCATTCATGGTGAGTTTATTGACCGTACAGCATGCCTATATCCTTCACAACACTTAAAAAGAATCCCCTTAAAACAGATCAATAAAGAACTGGTTATTCATAATGAAACCTTTTCAATACTGAACATGAACTATCTCTTCCACAGAACGTATTAACTTACTACCAGGTTATGTGTAACCATTTTTATTCACTGGCCTGGAACAGAACATCTTAGGATAACAGAAAAGCCCAAATACCTTTTTATCCATTCCTCCCAGCACTGTTTAAACAAGGTGTTGTCTATAAAACACAGTCACAAGAAATTCAATGACTTAGCATTTAAACCACCAAAAACATAAGAGCATTGGGAATGAAATGCTTAAGAGTGCAATATGAAGCTTGATAATATTCTGAAGACTACTGCAATCTTCCATTGAAATACAAGAACAATCAAAAGATCCTGTATTTTCTTATTGTCTTCATTTTTTCAGCAAAAATGATTTTAGGACCATCTGTGTAGTTATTTCCCTGTTTACAACACCTTTTATTTTAAACAGTGTCTTCACCGTGCTTTCATGGAGATGAAAAGCCAAACCTGAACAAAACTCTCCATGCACATTGAGGAATCAGGATGTTCTGTTTCTGCCCGTTTTGCTAACAGTAACAGGAAATCTACTTCTGGAAATGTTACCCACTTGGCGACACTCACTTAAAACTTTTCCTTCTCCTCCCCCTGACAAAATCCACATGCATTTCAAAACTACATTAACTTGCTCGTTACCATATTTACATCATCCACACTGCTTTGCTTTTTTAGTCACTTCGACGGAGAGAAAAAAGTGAGAACAAAATTAAACTGATATGGCATCACACTCTTTAAAGCAGACGTTTATTGAACAGAGGTTGTGCAACTGACAGTACTTGAGGTACATGATATGGTTATAGGTGGAGGGGGAGTAGAGAGCCATTTTGCTGTATCTTGTTAATGTAACACATCACAGGAAGGTGATGCTATTTCTGTGGTGACACAGCAGATTGTATGAAGCAGGACTCCCAATGTCTCTCATTCTTGCTGCTCACCTTTGTGTCTGGAGCTTGTGATTCTAGCCGAGCTTAACGTCAGCATTAATTGAACAAGGCATTCCCGCAATTGTCAAAATTCTAAACTCTTCCAGGTGACTTGAAATCTCTGCATCAAAGCAGCAAGCAATGTAAAGAGATTTAAGTTTAAATGATTAATTATCTCAATTAAGGCCTCAATTAAGCTCATTTGGAACAACATCCAGAAAACACAAGGACAACAACTGGGAACTACATGATTTTAAAGATACCAGGGTAGCCTGTTACCTCTGACTTAGTTATAATAAGGCATGCTTTTTTGCTCGTATTATGTAAGAAGTACAGTATAGCCCACTTAACAAAGACTTTGTGAGTACAATTCCTACAGTGAAGTGGAAAATGAAAACCCTGCTTCTTCAAACATCTTCAAAACCAAACGCTTTTATGGAGTTTTACCAAACCCAAATCGTCCGTTGTTCAGTGTCATTTAACCAACAGCTTAGCAGAGAAAACAATACACCTTTTTCTGGTGATGGCACCATTTGGTTTCTCAATCAGCAGATGCATATTACAACTTTAGCACCTTCAGTATTAATGACATGAACTCCTAGTTCTCTACCAACACTTTCCACATTAATGCCCATTCATTCTTTTACAAAGTTTATCGTTCACTTATACAATGGGCGCTCATTGGCTCAATATTCTGTTTGTTCCCCCCTCCACTATGTTTAAGTCCAGATGGGAGCTTCATGCCCTTCAAATCCTCTCGCTGGAAAAAAGTTTTTCCTCTTAAGAAGAAAGCGAGTCCTTCTGTTTCAGCTCGATACTAGGCTCCCTGAAAACAGTAGCTGTGAGGTATTGAAATATGGATTTTTTTTGTCCAGTAAACCTGAGGTAAATATACTGTAATTGCAGAAGGTGAAAGGACAGAAAGAAAAAAAAATACAGGAAAAAACCCAAAAGGAAAACATGCTATCAGAGCAAACTGTACAAAGAGCATTTCCAGTCGAATACTCGTTTTCATGTTCTTCGTTTACCATCTACTTCAGTATTCTGAGACTTTTTCTTAAGCAGTAAAATAATTATATTATACAAATGTTTATAAAATAGCAGCACACTCAGTGAAACATCACAGCTAAGTACTGTTAATGTGTATAAGGATGAAACAAATCATAGCTTTTTAGCAGCGCAAAAAAAAAAAATACAGATTCTTTATTACGTCAAAACACTCCTGTCTGCACGAATCACTTTGGAATATCTAACCCCTCATAAAACCTCCATCTATCTCACCTTTTTCCCCATAAACCCCTGCACACCCCCCCAAAAAAATACACAACCCAAAAAATAAAACTGCTCATCTACTGTTTTATTTTTTCATAGCAACTTAAAGGTCTTATGGTTACCTAGTTTAAAAAGCATTATTTCTCCCATGATAATTTGGCAATTGCACGGAAACCTCAGTTTTAGCACGTGTGACGGAGTCACATCCACGTTGAAGAAATGAAAAAGGAGTGTGTGATAAATCTGCAGGCTGAGCAGAGAAGAATAGCTGACCGGTCCTTGAATTCAAAAGCTTTCTTTTGGTTTTCTTTTTTTTTACAACTATACCATTTAAAGTATAATAGTAAAACCATCTTCTGTGATGGTGGGGTCTTCACCCAGTGAATATCACCATAATTGAATTGGTGACCTAAAATGGTCACGAATATGTACAGGTGGCTGCTAACTCTGAGATGGTATCGTACTTTACACCTTAATTTCTTTGTTCATTACTTTATACTACTGTATGTCATCTGAATATGTGCATTTCAGGAAGCGAATATGTACAGGGATCAGTTTCTCTATCATTTTTACTTTCGCTCGGGCCTGAACTGCTTTCAGTGAATTCCAGAGACTAAATTTAGTTTGAGATACCTCTTAACATCGCCAAACTTGGAATTCCAGGTTACAACAGCAAAACAAGAAAGGAAATAAGATGTTAAGTATTCACAATTTTTTGCACTTGAGTGACCGTAAGACCTTTAACGAACAGCTTCAATTTTGTTTTCAGAAATCGACCAACTGTTATCATAACATGTGCAAAAACAGACAAAAAAGTTGTTGCAACTTTTTTTTTGTATATCATCCAAGTGACTTAGTCATGGAGCAGACAAAAAAATTCAAGTAAAACAAATAAACTTTATTATTTGATCAATAAAAAAATAAACCTAAAAAAAAACTAAATTAAAATTGCGAACCTTTTCGGTAGCCATTTTTTTTTGCATTGGCACATATTATCTTGTCTTTTTTCTTTATATGTAATCATTTCTTTTAAATAACACATGAAATGGTCAGACTTTTCTCTTTTTTGGAATGTTTTCAGATGGAATGTCTTCTAGAACAGGTGTTAAAAATCACTACAACACCTTGAGCTATCACCATGGGAACACCTGACATAGGAAACCAGCCCTACAAAACAGTTCAAAAAAACAAAACGAAAAAACATTACATCCCTACTGTAAGTCTCCCTCAGCAGACTTCCAAAACCCATTCCATTCATCCCTAGGGAGTTTGGTTCAAAAGTGCTTTGCTAATGAAATGGTTTGCAACATCAGTAACTGTGGACCAACACCCCGGACTACAAGAGACTAATGAAAGGTGTTCCACCATTTTTAACTGCCCAATGCGTTAAAAAAAAAGAACAAGCACAAGGAAGAATATGGCTGTGTTAAATCTGGTCTGATCTGCTGCCGTTCAGAATGTGCATGTTGAAAATGGTCCAGAAAACATAACCTTAAAATAAAGGAACACAAACATACACATAAAAAAATCAGTTTATTGCTGGGAAAGGCTCTGGGACTTGAGCTTTAGCTTGACCACATCCCCACCTCTATGCCCCTTCACCTTTTAACCCAGCCACTGCCTTTAAAACCTCTTGCCCTCATTAAGCAGCATGCCCGGTGACAACCAGTGAGGGATATGACCAAATTCTGCAAAACTGAGCATTCCCTTGGCCAGCACTAACTCACGTCTGCAACCTCAAATGGAGACTTTGCTACCATGGGCGCTATATGATCCCTTACTAGCCAAGCCCACACCCTGCATGGCATAGGTACACGTTGTGGTGCTCATCTCAGAAGACGGAAAACGAAAAAGTCACCTGGATTGCAAAACCGGCAGGGAAACACAGTTCACTCCCACCCCACACAACGATTACAGTACTCCCCTCACCGTGCGCACTGCAGAGTACGCCATTCCACCACTGGTGATTACTCTGCACTCTCCTCATTTCTCCACCACCTCTATTTTCTTTCCCCTGGACTGCACAGTACGTACTGCCCCCACCCCACCCCGGCCCCACCCCCCCCCCCGGCACTCTGTGGAGCGAGCGGGCTCAGCCCCCCCCTCCCCTAAAGCGAGGTCATCTCCACAAGCCCCATTTTTTTCCCCACAAAGACAAAGCGCACGAGTGGAGCACAATGACACAGGTGCACTAACAAGCAGGCTGCAGAAGCAACCCTCGCCTCCGACACCCACCCTCAGACGCGCGCAGGCACGTAAACGCACACTGAAGAAGCAGCTATTTCCTGACACTACAAAAAAAAAAACAACAACAAGAAAAGCTTATTGAAGTCACTATTAGTGACAAAGCATTCACCGTGACAGAAGTAGTTGCTTAACAACAACAAAAAACAACACTTATAATAATATTATTAATAATAAAATAATAATAATAAAAATAATAGATTTAACATTCCGTACTGAAAACCTTTTTTTTTCTGTATCAAAAATTGGTTCAGCCCACTCAGGGGCTTTTCCCCCTGTCTGGAACCTTCCCTAATTTCTCTCAAGTCTATTGCTTCGCAATCTAACGACGCTGCAAACCGCACAGTCACAAACACACGCATCTGAGCGGAAGTTTCTTTTTACACGCAGGAGAAAAGGCTGTACTGGGCGCTCCGTTTGCACCGAATGGAAAAACACAAGGTGTCCGATAATGATGGTCACGCACACGCCAAGATAGAAATAAAACTAGGGGCCAGATGTACCCTACCCAGACTGCGCCTGTTGTAGGAGTCGCCGATGTGTTTTAAAAAAACCTTCCAAGCGACGGGCTATGCGGGCACAATGATACGTGCGAGGTTTCGAGAAATATTTCGCTGCGGCAAAATCATTCTTTGCAGTTCGATTGTATGCTTAATTTCGGGGATTCCTGTGAGGAGTTGCAAAATCTGGGCGGAGTCCACAACAAAAAGTAATTTCTCAAGAATTTGAATAAGAGGCAGTGCAGCTGCTACCAAGTGCGACACTTCAAAACGTGTCAATTTGTTGAGAACATTTCTTTTCTGGTCCCTGACCATGGCAGTTGTGACAAGTTGACATCATGTTCAGCAGCAATGGGTGAATGGAAGGAAAAAAGGTATTTACTGTATATATAGGCATAGGCACTGGATAATCTACTTAATGAGACTAAAGCACAAATTCCTATTTTCCCCTATAAGCAGGTTTCACCTGCCAGCACTGAACAAAAAATCTTTGGCATGTCTAGTTTCCCCAGTGTATTGGGAGCAAAAACTGTACACATACACATGCACAGGTGCTTCTGGAACCTTCAGCTCACTCTGAACATGTGTAGAGCAATAGGAAATGCACCTAACCTAAGAGTGTGTACTGTAGGTGGTATGTGATTCAACCGTAGTAATTACAAATGTTATAATCAAGTATTACAAGTCCGCTCACAGCTTGGTTACTTTTATAAACAGATGCGTATTTACCCAGCTGTGGGAAAGGGTATGACATTTCCAGCACCTCGATAGGAAAAAAAACAACGAGATTCTTCTCCTGTCTCCCTTTCCACTTCAAGTGCAAGTTTGTTTTCCTGATCAGACGTTTTTCCAGGACACTTCTTAGTTTCTGCTCGACAACACACAGGTGGGCTAGCAGGCTATACAGTTCAGCCTTAACCACAAGTTACCTACTGCTATTCCTTTGGAAACGTGTCGCAAAGCTCTCACAAGGCTTATTAGCACACAATGTTTACTGTGCGAAGTGTCCCAACAGAAACACAATGTTTGCCTTGCAAGTGGCCCGGCCCATCTTCGTACATCTGGCCCTTAGCCCCTTCACTCATACACACAGCCTTGTAATTCTCCTGCTATTTTTTACAAGCTTTTTTTAAGCTTTTATCTTTTTTTTTTAACTGGAACTTTACTGCGGCTATACAACTTAAAAACAATTGAGTATGCAAAATAGTTTATGGCAGGTTATCCTTCTGCAGAACCACAGACTTTATTGGTTTTTTAAATTTCATTTTAATTTTTTTTTAAATATCTAAAATAGCTTTTTTTCCCCTCTATATAAACGGGAGCACACGTTTGTTGTAATTTTTAAGGAAAATAAAAAAATAAGGTCTTTGTAGAAAGACTAGCAAGCACACTTTGTTGTTGGGGGGGGGTCGGCTGTTATTTTAATTTCTCCAGCTCTACGCTCTCCTGTGAGGTTTCCAGGCAACCAGCTCACAGGTTGATGTCTCGGACGTCTGTTGGGGTGCTGGCCTGGTCCAGCTCGTCCATCTCCTTGCGGGGGCCTCTCGGATCCTGCTGCTGCTGCTGGCGCACCTGTCTCAAGTTGCGGACCAGAACCGATTCGATCTGCTCTTGACAAGCTTTCAGGCAGTCCTGGAATGTAAAGCAGAAAAAAGAGGTTTGTGGATGCAGGTCCCCTCTTGGAAAAAAAAGAGGCAAAATCACTTGGAAAAACAGCATTCCATTTTCAATTTACATTGTTCTACAGAAACGTCTCCACAACTGAACCTCCTTCTATTACTGTCTGCTCAGCACTTCCTATGTGTTTCAGAAAGATCGCCATACAAAGATATTCTGTGCAACTGTGGTGTCAATTTCCAGAATTCAAAAGAACACCTGACAGGACATTTCAAAGAAAGAACAATTTGTCAGGATGTAGGCCCCTGTGATCCTGCAGGAGTTTCTGCAGCAACCAGGAATATATTTTTTAGGATTTCCTCTTCCCTAAAATGCTCACACTGAATTCCTAGACAGATATGAAAAGGGCAGCCTTCAGAATACGGGAATCTGAAAGGTGAGGGTCTTTCAGTCTTACCTAAAATGGACACACTTAGTAAGGAACAATGTCAGAAAACCAGAAGCTAGCATGTGACTTTCATGTGAAAATCCACAAAAAAAAAAAATCAGCAGAAAAGGATTCCAAAGTTCACTTATTCTCTTGGCTCTAAGTAACCTTGGGAAAAACACGAGAAGAATGCAGCAAGTAATGACTTGTGACAAAAACAAAAATCTTCGGAAAGCTTTCAGCAGCTGCAGAATGGCAACAGGGATATTCCCCTCCCCCCACAAAACTTCACTCTTGAAGAAGAATCAGAGGTCCTTACAGTACATCATGACTCCTGAAGTTTAAGTGTTCCATGAATTACACAAGGCTGTAAGAAGCTACAGTGTGGCACAGTGACGCAGTAGGTAGAATTGCTGCCTAGGTTCAATTCCAGGGGTGCCATCTGCATGGAGTGTGTGCATGTCTGTGTCTGTCTGGTTGGACTGGCGTTCCATCCAGGGTGTACCCTGCCTTGTGCCTAATCCCAGCTGAGATAGGCACGCCATGAGCCCTACTGGACAAAGCACTTAGAAAATGGATGGAGGTTAAGAAGCTAGAATTCAGGGGAAAAAAAATAAATATATTAATCCTTGTAAGCTCAAAGAACAGCCATCTAACTGTGCTTCTTCAAAACCCTAAATGGGTTCATTTCAAGGCCAATAATACAAGATCATTTAATGGTCAGCTCTGTTTTTGTGTAACATATGGTAGGACACTTTAATACAGAGAACAACATCCACCAAGAAACAGATTCCAGTTATACAGAATCCCACATTTGAAAGTGAACAAGAAACGGTAGGCCTGCACTCTGTCACAAGTAATACTCAAGAGCTCGGTCAGGAGCTAGATTTCCTGGACCCTGCATTCCACAGTGACCTCCTGTGGGCAGATGCCTGTTGAAGCCTGTACAGACAGCTAGGGCTGTGCCTTCTCCTCCCAAATTCCCTAACCAGATGATTCATCATGAGAATACCGAATGTGGTTACACAATGGGATTGAAAGGCGTTCATCTATTATCCTTTGTCACTGGAGTAACAGTCTTGAGTTAGGCATTTTGATATAAGGAAAAAAAAACAGCCAATGCAGAAAAACAATTGTGTATTACATCTCAGACACTAACCGTAACGGTAAGTCACAAGCATCTTAAAAGCATTCTAATTCAAATACAAATGAGACATAGAAAACGTCATGCAGTTTTACCGGTTTCTAAGAAAGATTTAACCATCCAATTCAGGGTCACGGAGGAGCCAGAGCCTATCCCAGCAAGCAACATGTGCAAGACAGGGTACACCCTGGACAGGATGCCAGTCTGCCAGTCCATCACAGGGCAGACAGACACAATCACACAAACACAGTGTTTCCAGAAGCCAATTAACCTACCAGCATGTGTTTGGACTGTGAGAAGAAACCCAGGCGAACACAGATAGAACATACTGTACAAACTCCTTGCAGCTAGCTCTCCAGCTCTGTAATTGAACCCAGCACTATGATGCAGAAATTTTGCGTCACTGTGTCATCCTCAAGTTCCACAGTCATGAAATACTATAGTAAAAAAAACACGGTTGGCGATACATTTTCAGGCCTTCACAATACAAGCCATGTAACAACAACAGAAATAAATGGCCATCTTGGTTTGGGCAGAAACAAATCAGTTCACCATTATGTGGCCAGTGCGGGCATAAAAGTATAGTTGCAATTTATGCAGTGCAGAACGTGTTAAAATTTGTTAATGTTCAAAGCACTCCAGTTAGTGGCTCTAAAGACAGGAAGTTTGAACTTCCCCCTGCAAAACTGGCAGCCAGACAGCTGTCTTCATTTTCCAGTGGAACCCCTTTTCACAATATTTCAATTGTATTTTTTTTTTACAAAAAATGACACCTATCTAGTTTGGAGTTAATTAGCCAAGCAGGTTTCGCACAGGAGCAGTTTGTGGCACGGGGCATGTATCAACAAGAGAATACAAAGGCGGGCAGAAAGCCAGCCTGTTTTAAGCAGCAATCCTCTTTTGACACATCGCAACTTCATTGTCACAGCAATGACTCCGGACATTTTGTGGAGTACATTGGCCCAGCAGGTTTTGAACAAGTGGACTTAGCCCTTTGTCCTATGTGTCCAAAAAATGTCCCTGACACATGTTGCTGATCTGAAACAGGTTTTATTGTGATCAAACCTGCCAAGTTTCAATTTCACCAAAACTCTGGATCCTAAAACTGGTATTCTGAAGTTTTATGGGCAGTCATCTTGGGTTAAGCAAAAACCCAGTTATGACCTGTGTTTGTTGTGTTTTCAGTAAATTAATACCTACTATATTTAGAATTAAATCAAACAGGTGGCTAAGTAAAGGTAGCTAGCTACCCGATTTCACTGGATTGTGCCTACAATATTTGTTTGGAGTTCGGAACAGTTGGGATTATAAGGCATGTTTTTGCCAAGCACTTGGTGACCTGGTGTGTACGCATGTTTGTGACAAGTTCTTTTCTTGGGTATTTTTGAAGCAGACACAGTCTGAAAAGTAATTTCCCAGCTTTAGTAAGCAAGTTTGAGCTTTAACGATGCCATGTTTAAACTCAACTGTCACCAAACAGATGATATTTGAATTTAGCAAACAAAATGGCCGTTAAGTGACCACTGGTTTATGCAGGAACTCCTTTCAGTTCGTATACTGTTAAGTAAGAGGTTCAAGTGGAAAGTTGTGTCCTGACTCGAAGGAACACGAAGAGGTTAATTCCACACTGAAAAGTAGCAAGAAAGAAGAAAAAAGAGAACATTTCAACTGTGAAGCCTTCTTTAGGTGTGTGGTACACCTGGACCACACACCTAAAGAAGGCTCAACAGCCAAAACATTGTCTTTTTCTCTTTCCACTTTTTCCACTTTTCAGCATGGAACTGAATATGTTTGGAGCTAAATTTTCGAGCAAATATTTGAACATTTTTGCTTTACAGGCCACATTTTCTTGCCAAGCAGTTAATGACCATATACAGTACAGTAAGAGTGGTATCTTAACTCTAGAATTACACCTGTAGATTAGGCGCTAACCAGTCTAACAGCTTTAAAACAGACAGAGTTTGCACAATGGGTCACTTTTTTCAAAGTAGTTTATGGTCTATTGTGGGACTAAAGAATACTGTACCGATAAATCAGGCCTAGAAGTTCCCAAAAAGACTACTTTGAAAAGGTTTTTAACTACGTGGGTCAGGCCACCAATTAATTTGATGCAGAAACCCTGGCTTTTCTCAAACATTTAATGACTCATCTGTCCCAGTATACCTGCCTGGTTATGGAGCTGTGCAGCCACAAGGTCCCTCAGCACAACCCCTTTCAAAGGCGTGAAGCATAGAAGCCAAATTACGAGGTAAACACACATTTGTAAATATAAACATACATAAACACTCATGTAAGTGACCACTGAGAGGTTAACAACCTGTGTCAGGCCTACTTGCAGCAGGCAGGCCAAGCGTTACATCAGCCAAGCAGAGCTGAGTGCTTCTTGCAGGCCTGTATCCTGACCAGGAAAAAAAAAACTAGAGATTACCAAAACTATGTTAATTATATCCATGTCTTTTCAATACATAAAAGACGTTTAATGAGACAGCAGCCTGCAGGGACCACCTGAGCCCATTTATACTCACATTACAGCTTCAAAGTGAGAGGCAGAAACTGAGACGTTCCTGAGAATCTATACACCCAAATTATCCATTACCGATCCATTATGGATGACTGAAAACAACTCCACAGTTTAGCAGACGGAATGGGAACTGGGGAGGCCATGGGGCTAGAGGTGAAAGCTGAAAAGCTGCCAAAGACTGGAGGGGGTGGGGTGTGGTGTGTGACACTGTGGTCTTGTGTACTGGTTCAGATTGAAGGCTACTATAATAAGGGCTGCTGGGATATAAATGCCACCTGGATAACTCCAACTGAGCTCTTACGCATAATTACAGGTCTCGTGAATCCTGTACCACCAGGCAATTGTGGGATGCATTATATAAAGTTTTGAATTATCAATAAGAACCATACAGTGGGTGCAGCTTTTGTACAGCTTGCAGAGAGGCGAGCAACTTTGAAAATAATTAAAACATCATGGGTCACAGTATGCGTCTAGGCACTGCTCCTGCTGAAGACTGTAAGATCGGATGAAGTACGACATAAAACTGTTTTGTAGAAGTTTTCTTTTTCTGCTAGGAAATGAAGGAATTATTGGTGGGCTATTAGCCCACATCAAAAGAAGCTCCCCATTAAGAGGATCATAGAGGAAGTTTTAAAACTGTTAAAAGAGGCATTGCTGCAAGTCGTTATATCTGCAGAGCAATGGAGGTTAGGAGAAATAAAACATGGTGTCAAGGTGTACTGCTGTCACTAAGAAGCTCCAATTAATTTTATTATGGCAATGCTGTATACGCTATGAGAATAAATATGTTTTCCTGGGTACGGATGAGTAAAGGGAGGCAATAATGTCTCAAAGAGGGTGCCGACACATTACCTTTCAGGTCATCTTAAAACCAAAAGAAGCATCATAAGCTCTACCAGAGCTTCCCACTTCCCAACAAGATGTGGTCCATTAGTCATAAAAAATAAATTCCTCTGAGAAAATTAACTAAAGCATAAAACATGTAAAGGAACTGCCTGTGTCTTACCACAAAAATGTGTGCTCTTTTTTTCTTAAAAGACATTCCCTCGGCTGCTCTTTATAGAAACAGTTCGCATCCCGTGCCAAAACCCAGAGGCTTAATTCAAGAAACTTTAATAGTTTCAATGTGCGACTACTGGAAACATGAATGTATTCTTCATGTTCAGACACTTGGGTGAGTTTTGGAAGAGTTAAGAAACACGTTGGGTTTTTGGCTTTCTTGTTTTGTTTGTACTTCTGTGTGTTTTAATATTTCTAGCAGGCCTTAACAAGTTTTTTTTTTTAAAAAAAGGCTGAATCACCCATGTTAATGCCACTTTTTTCTGGATCCACAAAAAAAAAGCTTCCTTTCACTCTGTCTGTTGTCACACCCTAAGCCACGCAAAAAGTCTGACAAAACCAGTGGTAGAAATTAACTCTATAGAGAAAAGTATTTCTAGTCTTAAAAACCTCCTCTAAATCTTCTTAATGTGTTCTGAAGCCACTGTTTTTGATCTCTATGGATCGACTCACAGAAATCGCACAGGAAAGATTGAAACTTTCTAATTTATGATTCTGTCTAACACCTTTTAAGTATTTAGTGAAGGTCGTACCAAAAGCAAATTGAAACTGTTTCAACTGTGTGAACATTCATTTTTGGGGGTATGTCTGAAAAGAACAGCAGTGTGCGAGAAAGAAATTGAAACCCTTTCTCCATAGATATTCAGCAAAACTACTATTATCCAGATAGTCCTTAAATCCTTTCTGAAGTGGAAGCTAGCACTTTGTGACAACAAATTGTATTAGCCCACAGATAATCCCCATCCAAGAACTGGCCTCCAATCCCATCCTGTACTCTCCAAGTAATATACGAATACCTGGACTGCTCTTCTCCTAGTGAAAAATTGACTTCTGAGCAGTTGTAGGAGACGCACTTGCAAGCAGCTGTAAAACTCTGCTGGGGAGTTTTTAATCTCTGATATCTGACTGCCTCAAAACTAGGTCCCATCTTTGATCAGCTCGCCGTAGAGCACTCTGGGTGCCATGTTGTAAAGAGGAAGATGAAAGAGGCTGTGAATGCTATTTTAAGAGAAGAGCACTAAAACCATCACACACACACATACGGGAACACAAAAAAGCGCAGGGCCGCACTTCTCATTCAGTTAAAATATGCTGCCTCAACTTCCTGTGTGAGCTGGCGCACTTTCAATGGCACTGCAGAACTTCCTCCTCTTTCTGAATGGGACTCTAAGCGACCCAGAAGAAGGCCATGTTGTGAGATGCATCCCCCCTTATTGTAAGAGCGCATGCATCACGCTGATTGGGGGGAGTGAACATGGTGTGTGTGTGTGTGGAGGGGAAAAGGGAGGAGGAGAGGGGAGAGGTGGGAGGGGGTGCTGCTACTGCTGTTGAGAGCGAGAAAGATGAATGAGCCTACTGGCTGCTGCCAACTCAAGCAAAGACAAACTAGGAAACCATCTCATTCTTCCCCTTTCCCCTTTGAGGCTGTTTTGTCTGCTGCTTCCTTGCATTTGAAATGCGGCTGCCTGCAACAAATAGGACAGGATGAGGGGAGAGTGAGTCTTGTCACATGCTTCCAAACCGCAGGCATTCAACACCACAAAAGCCTGGATGGTGCCGTTTTGTGTGTGTGTGGGGGGGGGAGTTGTGGGGGAGGCAGGAGTTGGGGAAGTAGTGGTGGTGATGGTGGTGGTGGTGGTGGTGGTGAGGGAGTGGACTTTTTTCAGAGCCGGCCTGCTAGTTTTAGTTTTCCACATTTTTAAAGCACAGATCTCCAACTACCCTCCCCCCCCACCACCACCACCCCTTCCTCCTCCTATCCCAATGTTTTAAAATTGTACACAAAACAACTGCGAGAGGGTGGAAACACGTTGGGGGCCAGAGGTTGTCATCCTGTGTGGCCTTCATATCTCCACTGAGCTACTCAGAAATCGCTGGGATTTTAATCAATGTACGGTCAGGCACTCAGTGACTAAACTTTTGCAAGGACTAATGAAAAAGACAATGGACACAAAACAAAATCACATCCCTTGTCCACACAGGGGAACTGAACGACAAACTGCACAGCGCATACGATTAAAATATTAAAGGCTCGGCTAGTTTGAACCGTTTGACTTCCTTTTTCCAGGATTTTTACAGCGTCGTAGGGCCGGTCCTGTTGTTATTGGATGTCACACCGAAGTTCTTTGTGGGCCTCGGTATGATGTAAAATGCTACATTCAGGAGATGTGAGCTTTTCTGTGTTGCACTGCTGCACAAATGCTCTGGCTTTGGGACCAGACAGGCTGATCCATGTTTTTTTTTTCATTCCAAAGCTTTCCTAGCGTACTTTCCAATCCATAGCCCCTTGATGTCCAGGAATTTGCAAAGTTGAGGAGGAGGTCGGCAGCTGAGCCCACTGACTTCAACACTGCCCCTGAAATGCTGTTTTATTGCTGAAGCAGAGTTTCGTCTACTGCAGCGCACTTCTTCAACCAACAGGTTGTGGAGGGATCGTTTCCTGTGCTACGCTCTCCCCCTCTGTGGGACTGAGCGGTAATGTGTTACAAGGCTGTCTGGGAAGGGGGCAGCTACAGGTCAGGCCACCGCCACTTGCCAAAGCCTTTGTTTACTTTTACATGTGGCACGCCATTTCCTCTCCCGGCCAAATAGGCTTTCTTTTCCTTCAATGCCTTTTACCGGGCTCACAGAACTGGCAAACACGGAACACCTTTGCCTCTGTGGCCATCGCTATTCAAGCCTGAGGGTGCATCTTCTCCACACCCCATCACTCGACTTCACTTCCCATGACATTTCCAAGCTCCATTGTGTCGAGACTCGTAGGCCTTTGATGCCGAGTCCAGATCACAGGTCACTGGAGGCACTTCATGCATCTTAAAGTGCCACAGACTAAGGGCAGGCCTGTCACTGGAGATTCTGTTTCTAATTTAAAAAGTTTTTTTTTTTGCTTCAATCCACTATCGCAGCTAAACACAGGCCCGAGTGAAGGCTCTCATTGCTCCACTTTGCAGTACACAGACTCAGGTTGCCACAAGGCTTGTAAGGTCCAAAACAAAGTCTTGGCTTCATCATGTGAGGACTGATGAGATGTATTCAGTGAAATTTAGTACATCCATGCTTGTGGGCAGCAGGCTACAATTTGCAGCGTATATGTTGACTTCCATTCCACCACTACTTGAACATTTACTTCATGAAAACACCAAGGTCACGTGGCTGAGCCTCAGCTGCGACAGAAGAGAGTGACTGGAAAAGGAGGCTCTTACTGACAACTTGGTTCTCATTTCGCTCTGGTTTCAAATCCTGCCAAAAGGCAAAGAAGATGAAGAAGAAGCAACTAGGCCTGTTAACATAACTAAAGCTCACATATCACCCTGCAACTCAGAACTGGAACTAAGCAGGTGCGAGCCTGGTCAGTACCTGGATGGGAGAGAAAAACTAAGGTTGCTGCTGGAAGAGATATTAGGGGGCCAGTAGGGAGTGCTCACTCTGCAGACTGTGTGGGTCCTAATGCCCCAGTATAGTGACGGGGAAACTGTACTGTAAAAAGGTGCTGTCCTTCGGATGTGATGTAAAACCGAGGTTCTGACTCTTTGTGGTCATTAAAAACCCCACTGTGTTTCTCGAGAAGAGTAGGGTGTTACCCCGGTGTCCTGGCCAAATTTCCCATTGGCCCTTACCAATCATGGCCTCCTAATAATCCCCATGTATGAACTGGTTTCATCACTCTGCTCTCCTCCCCACTGATAGCTGATGTGTGGTGAGCATACTGGTGAGTGTAAATCCAGCTGGGGTTACACACTGGTGGTGGTGGAGGGGAGTCCCCATTATCTGTAAGGCGCTGTGAGTGGAGCGTCCAGAAAAGTGCTTTATAAGCGTAAGGAATTATCACATTATAAGAAGAAAAGGCAGTGAAAGAAAGGTTTTGAAGACAGGAGAAAACTTCACAAAGTTCTCCGCTGGCTACAGAGGTCACATTAACTATATGTGTTACTTACCACTTCTGTGTTGGTAATTTTAGCCAGCAAGTCTGTCAAGTTGTCTCCCCACTGGGACCGGTCCCCATCGTCGAGCTGAAGTCCACAGATCGCTGCTCCGACACTTCCAGTTGCTATCATTGATGGAGGGTACATAGCAAAGCTGAAATCTGGGAAGAAAGAAGTGAAAACACACCTGTGCTGTTATTCCGAAAGAGTGACAACTATAACTAACTGGTCTGAGTCAGGAAAACAAGAATGGAAACCACAGTCCTCTCGAACAAGCAAGCAAGGACACCAAGGAACACAAGAGTCCACAAACCTTGGTTTTTAGAGGGCAAAGGCCACTTAAATAGAAGATCTGAGTGACAGTATATACTGCAAATCTGCTGGGTTTCTCAGATATGTTCTGTACCACACTGTAAAAAAAACAATACGCTCAGAGTTTTGTTGTCATCTGTTTTGCTGTATTGATTAAAGAAGTAGCTGTAAGGGGAATATCTTGATGCAGTATATTTGCCCTCTGTAAATGAGTAAATACAATAAACTTAACAAGACAACAAAGAAGAGGGAGGACTCTCAATTCAGCTCTGATGCGCTCAGCCTGCGTCCCAACACAAACACAGCTCACGTGCTGCCTCAGATAACTGTGGAATGTAGCTGAGAGCAACTTTCTATCTGTAATTGCTATGCCCTGCAGAGCATGGTGCTTTTGAAGTGAACACATCTTTGCGAAAATTATCTGGACAACTTGAAGTAAATAACTTCACTACTACTTAAAATCTAAAGCAACAAAGAAAATTCCAAACAACTTGCACAGACACACACAGCTCAATGTAATATCCTTTGGTCCTTTTTGTGTTTTCAGGAGGACGTCTGTGCTGGGCTTTAAGGCTACACACGCAGAAAAGGTTTGGTTGGTGACACGAAATTAAAAACAAAATTGTTTAAGGCCTTTTCAGCCAGTGTTGCCTTAATAGCCGACAGAGTACATGATCATTTCCCGATGATAAATAACTAAGTTTTTCATTAGGCTGCTGAGTGGGTCTGGTAATGACTAGCTGAGGCTAATGAGGGTTCACTTGGCTTGTATACAAGTTGAAAAACATCCCCCCTCCCTCCCCCCCCATCCCAAATCCACCCCCTTTTCTTCCTTCTCCTAAGTAAATCGTGTGCTCTGTGAAAAACTCCAACCTTGGAAGGTAGAATAAAGAGCCACAGTCCCCCTGCCAATGGCCACTGCTGTAGGTCCTTTTACAACGTGTGGTCACAAGAATGCGTCTGAAAGCCCAATAACCTTGTTAGCTCCCCTCACTGTCATTCATAATGCAAATAAGACAGCTTGCAAATGGGCCAGGATCCCGAAAGGCGAGTGGAAAAAAAAAAAAAGCCTAGGCTTTTCCACAGAAGTCTCGCAGTCTCTCTCTCTCTCGCCTCTCGCCTCTCGCTCAAACGTCCCAGTGTAACAAGCCCCACGGGTTTGGCTTCTTTATGGGTGCACATGCCCGGTCTTTGTTGTGCAGTCGGCAATGATTTGTATTAACAGCCCCCCTATTTTTTAGCATATTAATTAAGTGCAGCAAACTGGCAAGGCAAGTGTCGTGGGCAGGAGAGTGTGGCACCATTGTCTGAAGTCATCACCTCATCTCGCGCCATTGAAAATCACGGCAGTGACCCTTCTGCCGATATGGATTGAACCCGACGGGCCTACAAAGGAGAAACGGGGGTGGGGTGGGGGAGGCAGGCCACCGACTTGGCGCACATGATTTTCTAGTTTGTCTCTACAGCCTGTTAGGGGAAGGGGCAAAGCTTTTTTTCTCTTTCCCCCCCGGTTTTTGTTTTCGGGAAAGAAAAGACGCCACTCACTGTTGCCGGGCCACCTATGGGGTTGAGGACAGGACGCGGGAATGAAAAGCCCGCAAATTAACATATTGCCATATTCAATTGCAAAGCAAACTGTGTGCAATGATTCTAAAAGAGATTTTTCTTTTTTAATAAAGTACCCAAAGAGGTACCTTTGATAGCTGTGGAGACAGCCCCTTCATGGTCTTTTTAACATTCAGAACCAGCCTCTTTCTCTTCTTGTGAGTCTGTGTTGACAAATAAATGAACTTATTATACACCCCTACTGTATGTCAAGAACTGGGATTCTGCCAGGGAAGTATTTATTAACGACAAGCCTGAACAACTTGGACAAATAAAAAAGGAAAACAGCAGTATTGCATCACAATTTTTAAATACACTTGCTACATTACACATTTCATTTAAGAAACACACAGTTAAGAATGTACTCAACTGAGAGAAGCCAGAGAAATGAAAGAAGACCATTTAAAAACGCAATAAATTTGCTTCTTGAGCAGTTTCTTGTACTGGGCAGTGGAAGATAGTTATCAAACCAAAGGAATGCTTTACGCAATCAGTGCCTGTCCAGTAATGGATAATCATTGTGAAGAATGTGGCGAGTAGGACACTAGACACATCCTACCCCAATTAATAGATTAGTGATGGCAGCAGGAGCTTTAACTCATGAAAGACAAATGTAAAAGTGTCATTTCCATCTAGAAACCGAGGAATATCAAAAAAAGAGTATAATTTTTATAATGACAGGAGGACGTGTACACACTATGCTCTTCCACGTTACAGAATGTTCACGTGTGTCCTACAAATCCACTTGTACAAGGGTGTTGCCTACTACAAAATGGCAGACTCCTATCACATCAACCCTGTCCCTATAAGTCGTATGCGACAGGATTTTCATTCAAATCATCAATGAAACCACATACTACCCTATCCTCATTATTTCTACCCTTGTGAGTGAGAGAGGACAAATATGTCCTGTAATGTGAGTAATATTGTTTAACATTCTAATCAAAAGGGTTCCCATAATGGTAAACCAAAACAATAAATATGGCTAACGCAATTTCATAATCCGCAAGACCATAACTTTAGCATTTTTGCACCGCTGTTCACCATAACTCACAAATATCACGAGTGTCTCCTTCTATCAAGAGGTTTTATTTTATTGTATCAATTTTCCAAAAAAGCAATAAAAAATATTTTTAACTTATTAACAGGATACCATCCAACTTTACCAACATACTTTTATGTTACTTAATTTATGTATTAAATATCTCATTGCAGACCTCAAAGACCAAGAAAAAGCAGTCTCCTTGCAGATCAATAGCAGCACCGGAGGGACAGAACATTACATTTTTGCTGCCAGTATTGAGGGGCGCCTGTGTTGACTAATTTAACCTGGAAGTTCTTCTGTCAACAATCATTAATAAAATAACAAAACTGGAGCCCAGCTGCAACTGATTCATACTTCACAGGCTGGGGGGTCACATTCCTGGTCATAAGGTCTATATGCAAGCCAGTCATTTAAAAGAAAAACAAATCCAAACATTATTGCATGAGTGAAGAAGCCTCCATACACAAAAGATGACAAATCTCCTTCAGCTTTCTCATAACACACAGATGAAACTGGGCCTTGCTTTTACATTTAGTAAAAATGAGGCCTCCAACCTATAATTGATTATAACTGCCTTTATGGAGCACACCAGGTTATCTCTAAGTGAACCTACACCTTTTGACCTCTTAGAAGTAAAACGGATATCACAGACAGTAAAAGATCTTTTACAAGGCCTGTACCTTTAGATTAGATCATTTTTACCTAAGCCTGGCATTATTATGTGACAAATAATTCTTTAGAACAACAACCTTAGCATAGAGTATATCTTGAAAATACCGAAAAGGAACAAGACAAGTCTCATCTTGAAAAAAGAGACAAAGTAAAGGCTGTCTGTTTGGTTTCCTGCCCATAGGTGTCTAAAAGATTGCACTGAAAACAAGTGCATTTTGGACATTTTCAACAGCTCTACATCCATTGAAAGAATAAAATGGATTGGCATTTATGGTTAGAAGGTTAGAAGAAGGATGCTTGATTAAGTCTCACAGTCTACCAAGACTGCATTCGACTATAATATAAACTACAGCAACACGTGTGATGTGGACAATCCAGACGTTGTTTGTCTATCCTTGATATCCTTTTTTTTGCATACATTTCCCAATTTACTTTTTTACACTTTACTTTACTGGAAGTGTTTTGCTTCGCCTCTGCTTTGACATTTCCTTTCCACAGAAAATCAGTTTCCCAGCACAATGGACACCTCATCTGTAGAACAGAAAGTCTGAAAGGCAGGCTTTCGACAGAGCTCAAAAGGGCAAAGAAACTGGGAGAAGGAAGGAGTTACGCTGTTAAAAGAACAACAGAACAGATACAAATGACAAAAAGCTACTTGATCAAGGAACTCCAGCACCAGGCAACTTTTTTTTTAATTTTAATCCCAGCAGATCAGCTAATGTATCATAAGGACATTGGTTCCCATCACCTGAATGTACGCTCCCAGTCCTAAACACACACATACTTAGAAAATGTCTCAAATTTCTTGTCCTAGTTTCCCAAAGAAGCTAGAAGTGGGTTAACTTTGTGAGTATCTTTCAGGATTCTGAGTACCTGGATCTACTTGTGATTATGTACAGCCACAAGAAAAGCTCAAGCAGCAGACGTGCACATGGGTATCACCCCTATTTACCTCCCTGAAAGCTGCACAAGAAAACAAGAAACACTGGTGTCTCTCTTTAAGTGCTCAGTATAATCTTCCTTAATGAGCTTGTTTCCTCTCTATTATCCTCTGGCTGCCAAAGAATAGATGATGGTTCCTACAAAGTGCTCCCCCTGATCTGACCCTTACATGCCTCTGCATATAAAATGTAGGGCTGCCCATTGTCTCCTTTCTTCTGTTTTCTAACCAAGCTCCAGACAATTTGCATAGTACTGGAAGACTCCCAGAGTTATTAATTAATACTCAATCAGCTTCCACAGCCTAATAAAGTTCCAACAAGGACCTCAAACGGAACTGGTTTTTTTTTTTCCCAAAGGCTAGGAACCATTTAAAAAGGGCCTCCTATTCACCCCAGAAGTTTTGTTCATAAAAGTTGGAAGAGACAAAAAAAGGAAAATACAGCTTAAAACTGAATTTGAATGGACACAAAGCTGAAGTTACGGCTACCAGCCTGCCAAGCCTTTTCAATAAAATTCTTCAGCAATTCGTGACCAGGCCCCTCACATGTATATGGCTTCACATAAAGAGATATTAAGGCCTTTAGAGAAAATACGATATGGTTCTGGAACAGATTTTTTAAGAGCTACAGACAGACACAATCCTTTTAAAACCATATTCTCCTGTGCCTTGAGAGCTCATATCACCAATTCCCTTACGCACTCATAAATGAAGGGAGAAGAACATTTTTGTTCAAAGTTGCTCTGTCACAAATCGGTTGACTTTACTAAGACATAAAGCAATACAGAACCTAAGCACTTTTAATCAATTAACAGCTGAAATTTTAAGACAGGTTATGCATCAAAGCATTTCTAAATGACTTAGTTCCAACTAAAGGAATTTACTTGACCAAATATGCTTTTTTTTTTAACACGCTCCAAGTCTGGAACTAACTTCTGGTGATCTTGGCTCACTGTACTTGACACCTGTACTGGCACAGGGAGAATGAAGTCTGTGCAAGTCTCTCCACTGACTTGCTCACAGTCAAGTTGCTTGTCATTTGACATACTGCCATGCCCGACGGTACATGATGAGTGAGTTAATACCCATCTGAAACATGATGTAGCTCAGCGCTGGAAACACTTCAAGCTCCTATACCCCCAGACTATCAACGCACATCACTACAGATCAGATCAGAATGAGAATCTGCTCAATGCTCCTGACCCAGCCCCAGAGCTGCCTGGATAGTAGCACACCATCACCCAGGCAATCCCAGTCACAGCTGCATCATGTCCAGAGCGGAACCACAGATTCACACAAATCAATGAGAACCGGTTACCTGAAAATCATCGTCTAGGCAGTTTTGCCTTCGACAGCCACTTCAAGGGTGGATGAAACCCTCAAACACTAAGAGCAATCTCTATCATAAACACAGCTGTCAACCACCGCACAACTAACATGGGAATCCACCCTCCTTCACTAATCTATCACTTCCAGTGCTGAGGAAAACCGTTTCTAGAACTAACACCAACGCCAATAATCAATCCTCACTCAGATGCATTCCCATGTTTTTAGCTCGACAAATACATCTAATCAAATTACTTTTAAGCTGTTTGTAACAACAGCAATAAATATATTTAGAAGTTGTTTTACTTTTGCATTTTCAGGTGTCCCTGACAGGGACAGTCATTCCATTTGCCTACATGGAGATTATTACGAAACTCGCGAAAGAATGTCCAACGAGGACTCACTGCCATTGAGTGGGAATCCCATTGTTTAGGTTTGTTTAACAGCAGTGTACTGTACCTTGCTAGACAAGACGCACTGCAGCAGACAAGAGCCTTCAAGAGAGCGGAAAATCTTGCCAAAGGGCCCCAGCTACATTGCTGGATTTCATTACCCCTGCTCAAGAGGAGGCCAGCGCAGGCATCTTCACAATTGAGACAGAACATGGGAAAGTCAACGCGCCCTAGAGCTGCTGGGAGGCGTGAGAAGAGATAGATATGAAAACATGACATGCTCTTCATTTTATTTTGCAAGAACAATATCCTCCTTTTTTTTCTTCTCTTCCCAAACACATTAGATCATATTTAAGCCTTCCCCCCTCCCACGACTCCGTTTGATCTCCAAGAAGCGATCTACCTTGTGAAAAAGGAAAATACCCTCTTCCCAAGTACTAGAAGTTCAGCCACTGATCCTCGGAAAAAATGCCTTCACTGTGCTCAAGTGTGCAGTACAGCCCTTTGAAGTGTCACTGTATTAAATTCCATCCTACCTATACCTCCAAAACACAGAGAAAAAAAAAAGTACTCGACACAGTTGAAACAATGCTCACAAATGTTAATTTTGTATTGTTCCTTTCCTCACCTGCAATTTTAGATCTGTGCTGCACTTACAACCCCTTAAAACAGCACAACAAGTTGTAACATTTTATAGCAATATCAAACACACGGGGGTCACCCACCACTAATGAAAAGCTTGTTTTTATGCTGTGCTAGTCTCCACGGCGATCAAAACAGAAAGCTGTTACTTATTTACACCCGAATCTGATCCAACCTCTCAGCGGTACCGAAACTGAGGATGTATGTGTCACGCACAACATAAAAGGAGTCCGATTCATTCCCTCAACTTGCCACTGGTTGGAATCGCAAGCGCCTCTCGGCAACTACTGTTCAATGAACTGACAAGAGCACGAGAGTTTCCAAGACAATTCTCTTCCTAAGGCGTAAGGGGTAAGAACTGAAGAGGGCTAGCTGGAAGTGTGTGGGTACAGGGGGAGCGGGGGACTGCTTTCAAATTACAACAGGAAAGACAAAACAGCTGGCAACAGCGTCCCTAGAAATGTGCCCGGGTGCACTGCAAGTAACACTCGCCAGCACTTGGCAGAGCCCAAAGCAAAGCTTCTCATACCTGTGGCACAAAGGGCGATGAAGGTCTGCGCGTGTTTGCGGATTAAGGGCAGCTTTTCACTGGGCAAGGGCAGCTTTTTCATGATGTGTTCGATGAAGTCGTGGGGAGTCACTGCAGCCAGGTTCCACTTCAATTTTCCAAGGACCACCAGCTCCCACTCCTAAAATTGGGGGGGGGGGGAGAAAAGGACAAGGACCATTGGCACCCATCTGGCAACTTTCAACAAACTGGCGTCACAGGTACAGGACAGTTTCAGCTGACTGAAGAACATCACACTTCTGCCAGATAGCATCTCAAATACATGCTCTGTGTCGAGGCTGGAGTAGAGAGAGACAGAGCAAAGCAAACCTGAACTTCTGGGGCAACAGAAACCCCACTGTAGATGAATATCTATCAGAATGAAGCCTAACGTGCAGAGCCGAGCTGGTTGACAATTTGAAGGCTTTTTTTGGCTTTTCACCATCGATAACGCTCGAGCGTAAACAGAGAAAACAAAGAGAAAGGCAGGAAATCACAGCTTGCAGATACCATAACATGTTTTTAACAGGTACCGAACTTCCCCATTTTAGGTGATAATCAATTTGAACTGACAGTCTCATGTGTTGAAAGTGGTGAAAATTCCTAAATCCCCTTTATCTTATCAGAGGGGCACCTCCTGGACATTATACCTCACAAACAGATGCCGCACTGCCTCAATTCAGGGGCATATGCCAGGGAGAGAAGCATGTGTTGTGTAAGAACTAAAACTTGGCACAAAGCAAAGGTAGCCCAGCCCACAGCAGTCATGATTACAGCTGGCACATCCAACCACACAGAAAGCTCAAGCTTACTTAACAACCTGTCACGGTGTGCCCAATTTCCCCATTTCATCAGATCACCACATGCCCACCTGAGTTCACATTTTTAACTGGTCGCTTGGAAACCCAAAAGTGCCCAATTGCACAGACTTCTGACCCGTTCCAGGTTTGGTACGTTACAGGCACTTTCACAGGTTTCTACATGTTTCAAGCTTATTACTTTATATGAAGCAAATCTGCTTTTTCAGTCCCGGTGTTGAAATACTGTAACATTTCCACCTAGGCATTTCTGCTCCGTTGGTACAATTCAGTACAGCTTGTATCAGAGCTGACATCTCAAAAACCCCTGGAGCAGATCAACTCGTTACAGAAAGGAATTCTTATGAGGTTTTGAAAAGAATTACATATTTTCCTCCTTTTTCACTTTTTCTTCGCTAACCTTCAGTACAGACCTGGGGGTGGTGGTGCTGAGGTGGTGAGGTAGGTGGGAGAAGACAAACAAAGCACCATGTCAGATGCGTGTTTTTATTAAACTGGGACATTACCTCATTTTGTGCTGTGCCCCAAAACACAGAGAAAACAGTCAGGAAAAAAGTAGAGCTCACTTAAACCAATAGCCCAAACTTTGCATCCTGGCCCAGTCCAGGCATACACTGTTCATAGTAAGCAGAGAAACAAGCTAAACCAATTCTAATGTAGGCAGGAGTTAGGACCAATGGAGACAACCACTTAAGGGTCACTCACCACAGACGGACACAACTTGTATTCACAACTGCAGTATCCAGAATACAAACCTCATCCAACCACTGCACTGTCAGTATGTAACATAATACTAAATGTGGTGATTTGGACATTTATGACCCCAATATAAAGAATGGCATCAAAGTCAAGTTTCATTACAGTTGCTAGATTAACCATACAGATATGAAAATATTCTGAATTCCCTTTTCCTTACATATGTGGATCAAAATGGGTCATTAGAGCAAAAACGTCCATTAAAAACAATCTGCTGTCATGGCAGATTTTATGCTTTTTAAGCCAATCTGGCACAAGTCTTAATTGAGCAGGTATTCTTGTCTCTGCTAGGTTTTTGTAAAGTAAATTGTAAAGTATATTTCCCCTCCTGGGGCATTAAAGTTACTTTTAGTTAGTGCTGGGATGGTGACAGCATACAGTGAACTCTGAAGTACCAGAGTATACAAAACATGAACCTGCGGGTCTTGGAAAATCAAATCTTTGCATGCATACCCTTGACTCATCAAATGTTCTAAGGTCACTTATCCAAGAAACTTTGAATGTCAGTATTATCATACCTGCAGCCTTGCGATCAGAGAGTCTACTGTATATATGTTATAAACTTTTTCTTGCACTGCAGTCCTTCCTGAGTACATCAGATTAATGCTACTCCTCCATAAGTTACTCCCAGGTAATATGATGAAGTATTAGCTTCTGTGGGCAGTCTGCGTAATTTCCATTTCTGCATATATATATAATTGCTTGCAATTGAAATACATGGTCTCTGTGCCATTATTCATATAGGAGGGTGACAGTGAACAATTAGTAGAAAACGAACAAGAAAGCTCTAAACCCAAAAGCAAGCCATTTCTTTTGGCTGGCTTGGTTGAACTGTAAGGCATGGCTTACAGCTTATTTTGCAGAGCCCTTATCTGAAACATGAAAATTTTTCTTAACATACTATTCATTCAGAAGGGGGAGGCTTCATAATGCCAGGACTCTGACCTAGAGTCCAAGTGAACATTAATGTCAGATTCTGCAAGCAACTTCTAAAGTTCTGCAGCAGAAAAGTGTGCATTTGCACTCAAGAAATGATTCAAACCTCAGTTTTAGTATGACATCTCACGACAACTGAAATCACATGAGAAGAGATGGTGTGTTTAAAACAGGTTTCCTGGAAAACTGGCCAGAAAACCTTTAAGAACACCAATGCAAAAAAAAATAAAAAAAACAGAGTAGGGACTATGAATCCATCTCCTCTATTTATCAGACTATGTAAATGGAATTTTCTACCGTCAGTACAAAATTACTCTTAGAAATGTAATTAAGGTGATCACAAAGAAAGAACAAGTATTTCTAAGCAACAATTTTGCATCATTTGCCATGATTTGTACGAAAAAAAATACTGTTTTTTTAAAAACAATTATGTCTGTTGTCTGAGGATATTCTTTTGATAGCTATAAGGATGTACATATGGCCAGCACCCACATCACCCTGCAACTCACAACTGGTAACCCACTGAAGCTCAGCAGGTGTGAGCCTGGTCAGTACCTGGATGGGAGACCTACGGGGAAAAACTAACGTTGCTGTTGGAAGAGGTGTTAGTGGGGCCAGCAGGGGGCGCTCACCCTGCAGCCTTTGTGGGTATAGTGATGGGGATACAACACAGTAAAAAGGTACTGTCCTTTGGATGAGACGTAAAACTGAGGTTCTGACTTTCTGTAATCATATAAAAATCCCAGGGCGTCTCTCGAAAAAAGTAGGGGTAACCCCCACGTCCTGCCCAAATTTCCCATTGTCCCTTACCTCCTAATAATCCCCATTTATGAAAAGGCTTCATTACTCTGTTCTCCTCCCCACTGATACCTGATGTGTGGTGAGCGTTCTGGCACACTATGGCTGCCATCGCATCATCTGGGTGGGGCTGCACATTGGTGGTGGTGGAGGGGAGTCCCCATTACTGTAAAGCGCTTTGAGTGGAGTGTCCAGAAATTATTATTATTACATGTTGCTGTATGCCATCTGATATGTCTCAGAAACCAATTAAAAACATCTAAAAAACAAAGAAATTTACGGAAAACCATGAACCTGCATGCAATTTGAAGGAATCTTCAAACTGAACACTTGTGACATGGGCACTTCTACTGATTTCATCACCAGTACACCACATCCCCTTGGTCATGAGACTGCAAAATGCGGTAACCGTTAAGTTCACAGTATCTTCCGAAGCTAAGACGTACCATCCCAAACAGCTGACAAGAGTTTTTTTAAGAGTTTCATGATGAGTACCTTGTTAGAATCTGGGTTTATAAACACCACTAAAAGTGCTGGCCACCTTGGCAATTACTTATTGTAGACAAATTCACTCAATTTACAATACAGTGCTGGATCCAGGAAAGAGACATTGAAATTGAGTCAAGAATAACTGTTAAAACTGAGCACTGTATCAAAACGTGGCCAGAATTTCAGAAAGTACTGACATGAAACCTTGTCAAAAAAGGGGATAATTTCCAAATACATATTCTGATGATCAATCCGAATCTCAAAACTGACATGCTGTTCAGCCAGGAATGACTTATTATTACATATCTCACAGCAACATTCATAACTGGAGGACTGCTTAACATCAAAGGCAGCAACTCATTCATTTTTCCTCTGCCTTACCCACTTGCCCCTGAATAAAAAGACATCCTGACCTACACTCACAAAATAGGTATTGTCAGAGATCTAGAACAACAGCTTCCCTTAAAAAGAGAGCTGGCACACCTTTACATGAGGGGACGAAAAGAGACAATACCTTAGGGCATAAATGCCACATTTTATCATCACTATTACCTTTTAACTGTTACACTCCAGCTTGACCCACATCCTTCAGTCTCTCTCTGTACTTTGCTCATTCACATATAAATAAATATCTATGTACAAACAGCACGCTCGGTATGCTTACAGGCTCAAAGAGTGAGCACTTAATAAGCATTCAAGCATGTCTGAGCAAAAAGAATACTAATAAAACATGTTTCTTAACATGCATGGAATAATAGTCAAGTGATATGCACCCCAAGCAACTGTTATTCTGGCTTGTCATACAAGTCTATCTCCCTGTTGCTCTCTGGCAGAATATTTTACCATTCACACCAAAAGAAAGACACAACAGCAGCCTGGCTCACTCCTCTTCAACTCCTAAATCACCATCTGCTTTCTTGTAGCTGTGCAGTCTGCAGTGGCCAGACCTGTCCGCCACCTCGCCGAACACTTCAGAAGCGGCATTCTACAGCGCGGTATGAACGCACAGGCTCAATCTCCCGTTTCTGCAGGGCGTCAGAAGCTGCGAAAGCCAGTCTTACTCATTGTGGGGGGCTTTACAAGAAAGCGTTGCCATTTCTTCTGCCAAATGTGATGAAATAATAGGAAGACGTGACCTGTTTGGCTGATCATCGGTTTCAGGTCTTTGGTTCTAATACTTTTAAGTCATTTAGAGAGACAGAACACTACTGGTGAATAAACCACTGTTCAGCTGGGAAAACCCCTCCCCACAACCACTTATCTGAAGACTATGAAATTCCTTGCAACTTTCAGCAACAGTTTCAAGACTATTTATAAGCAACTGAGAGTACATTCTTTCTCAACCCTGCACAGTATAAAATCAAAAGTCTTGCATTAAAATTAAGATACTGAGGGGCTCCGCGAGATTGGTACTACCCATTACTTCAACGACTGCCCAGACAAAGTTCTCCTTTAGTTCTACACAAAGTAACTGTTATCACATGTACAGTATATATTGTATCTATGTCTATCTGTATTCTGTGCATGAACAAATGTGTGTTCATTAATAATTCAGGTCAAAAGGTGTTTCAACATTTCTGAAGAGATCAATATTTTGTCCCAGAAATTATGCATGTTTTAACAAGCCAAACCTCAGCAGAGCCTCGCATATCTAATCAGAAACCATGGACAAAGGATGACTTTAAACATCTGAATTGTTTGAACTCCGAAAGATGACTCCTGTCATAAATATAATGCTATAAGCACTGAAGTACGCTGTGACTCACAGTGGGATTCATCAAACAATTATTTATATCAGTAAAAGAAAACATATACTAAAATTCAGCATTAATAGGCAGTGAATGATGTCTGGTGGATAACTCCATGGGTGGGATAGGCTGCTAACCAAAAATGTTTACAGAGCTTTAAAGAGGAAATATCTCTCTGATGTCAGTAACCAACATATTTTATTTCAAGTCCCTCATGTTGATTTATCAGACATCTCTCAGACCCACCTCCGATGTCATGTTTCCAAGATCTATAATTATGCTTATGACTAAAATAAAAATGTGCAAAGTGAAAAAAAAGAGTTCTCCAGGGATGTTACAACACTGGTAAATCAGGGGTCTTGAATGAAAAGGCTACATTTGCACAAAGAATTACATGTACGGATAGGCAGATGAACATAAAAAAACTGATGTCATGAGTCATCTAGGCAATTCACAATGAGAAATTAAGCTCTCTTAGTTCATACCAGGGACAATCAGTTATTTGTTCTCACAGAAAACAATAAAAAAACTGCATTAACAAGTAAAACTGTATTGATCGAGATTGATATCACCATATACCGGTGAGCCATTTACAGAGTATTGTATCACAGGAACTGAAGTTATAGCTCCCAGTGAAGAACATTACAACACCCACATTCCATTTCAAGAGGTTAACTGTTGTAGCCATATGAGATGTATTCCCTATTCAAAAAATCGCTTGATGCAATCAGATGGAACTACCCCCAGACAGCCCTCTATCTCTTGATTTCCGATAAACGGAGCATATCCACTTAATAAGCTCATCAGGTGAAAAGTTCTGGCTTATTTTCAGAAATTAGAGGTCACCCACTGACCACTGGCCCTGCCCTTTCATACTCTGGCCACAGAAGTAAGCAGGCAAACATTCAGCGTGACATTAAGAAATCCGTAGGGCGGAATTTAAAGATATGAAGAAACTAGCTAAACTAATTGTAGAACAAAAACCCAACAAACATCCCAGACCTTAATTACGGTTCAGCTGCTGCCACAAACGTTTAGTAGATTTCGTCGGCAAACGGGGGTTTTGACGACAGCGAGCTCAAACCCTAAACAAACAAAAAGTCCCTTAGACTTCTCTTTCGATTGTCAATCCAAATCAGTAAGCCGTGCACCACTTTAACGTGGCGGGCTATTTTTATCGACCCATTTTTAGTCCTAAAGAATTAATGCTGAATATTGTGACGCGAACAAGATTCAAGGCGTCCTTCTTTTCCGTAATCCACCTCCGGGAGGTTGGAATCCAGACACTGGCTTCCACTCAATACTGAAGTCACCACTAAAGACTTCCGAATATCTAACGCTAGATGGCAATAAAGACCGCCTCAACAAAAACACTCCAAGCCTTGTTTTTTTTAGCTTCACTGCACCATGTTTTCTTCCACGTGATTGATGGTCCCAATACATCGGACTTCGAAAAGGAAAATGCTGCTCTTATTTGCACGACTTATTTGTGCGTATAACTCCAGTTATAAATGCCTAATTGTGTGACTGGGATCAAAATGGCATTTATAAATCTATATGTAATAACCGTTACAATTAACCCCCCCGATCACACACACTGTCATATACAGAAATACACAAGAGAGACATGCAACGCACACACAGGTATACGCAATCAGAAAAAGTGCAAAAAAAATAAAATGATACAGACAGGATATAGTGAGCTATTCCATTTTAAAACTCTATACTTCAAAAACCTTCATTTTTAAAACTCTTCAAATTCATCAGACGTCTATATTTGATAAAGAATTTACTCAAACTGAGCTTAAGAACTTTCTGCAGAATCAAACTGTTGCTTACCAGCAACTCCTGTGGTTTGATGGAGTTGTCAGTATAGATACAGAGTTTCTCTGCAGTTAATGGACGCGTCTCTTTCAATTTTGACGCAAGAAACATGCACACCGCTCCCAATAATTGCAGATTACACTTTTTGGTAGGTACCACTGCTAGAAATCTGTCCAAGTAGTTCATAGCCAGAGGGAAAACTTCTTCCTCGCACTTCTGCTCTTCACAAACCTAAAGAAAAAGAGAGAACGAATAGCCGGATGAACAAAAACACAGGGCACGCAAACTTCGGTATAACAAGTTTTATAGATTCCAATATTTCAAATACCTGTTAAATCAAATACAAAGGTACTTAAAGGATAAACTGAACTTGTTTTCCTTCAAAATCTCGATAGACAATATAATTTCCGTGTTTTATATTTCGTTAGAAATCGTTGTTTTTTTACAACGGGCGGATCCGGACCATATAGGGGCCAATATTATCGATAACGTCCAGATATGTTATTTTTGAAGGTTGGAACAAGGTCTCTGGCACAGACTGTCAATAGACTCGCATTCCTTCGGTTCATTCAGTAAGAAATGAATTCAAGTCACAATCACCCCAGCCAAAAAACACCCATGCAGCAGACTTCGGGAGCTCTTTTTTACATTTCGTCATATTTTCAGAAAATATTTAAAAATATTAAAAAAATATCTAGACCCCGGATTTTCACTTCCAAATGTTCGCAAAGGCTTCCCACATCATTCCCGACAATTGATACGCTTGGAAACCGAGATTAAACACGATAAAAACTTTGAAATCAGAGCATAGTGTCATGTGTTCGCCGTTGAACGTCTGGGAGCCGAACCGCAATAATTATTTCAAAAAATTATATAAAATCGCACAGAGTGAAAACATGAACACTTTTTATACGAAAATAAAGTACAACGGGTTAACTTCATTTTCTGACCACAAAAGATAAGAAATGTCCAAGCGATGGTCAAATATCGAACATAAATCGAGGCTGGCGGATTTTGGAGAGAGGATAGAAAGTAAAAGAGGAGTTAAGGGCCCGCACCCCTGTTGCGGACAAATGCTTTACAAAAAATATACAAAATATGTCCGGTTTTTCCGGGGTCAGTTTTAAGAGGACAGTGAAGTTCAACGTTTCTCCTATTGAGACATATCTAATTTAATAGTTGTTATCGCGTTTTAGTTAGTGATAAACCCGTCGGAAAAAAACACGAACTGCCTCAATAGTTCAAAACCAACATGGCGTTATATTATAGGATGGGGGTACGTATTGAACTGCATACGTGTGCATGGAAATATTTATTCGAGGAAAAAATAAAATTAATCACCGAAGCACCTCTTTCAGGGCCCCGATGATCACTTTTATTCGAAACAGACAGCCTTCTGATCAGTTTTATAAACCCCTTCTGATCAGCTTTCCTCTCTGAACATAAGAACTTCAGAACACGCCTCGGCTCTCCGCACAGAACAGCATAAAATGTATTTAAAAAACACAGACACGTGTAATTCCGGGAAAGTCTCGTCGGAAAACAAAAAACAGACTCTTCTTCATTTTGAGCTTGAAAGTTCAGTGATATTAAGCACGAAACGAGGCTTTAAAAGTTTTAGAAGGAGGTGTGGGTTACAATGCAATTCTGCCTGCATACAGTACAAACCTCAAGCATCCAAGTTGCAACCATCTTCCGCATAAAAGGTTGAATATCCTTTTGAAAGCATTTGAAATAAGAACACTGGGGTAAAAATCTCTCTTCAATGGATAACAGGTTTTGCAAAACCCGGTCATCGTACAGAAGATTCGGGTCTGGATGAGCTCTTCGTACGGTGTCCGCCTCGTAGCAAAGGAGTTCCATGGTTTAAGCTTTAAGAATATATATATTTATTATCTATTAAATATTTATAATGATAGAAAATACAAAAACGACTGGAAATAAAGTATTTTAGAGACATATAATTGGGACTGCAGGACTATCCAGCCGAGTCCTGCCTCCCTTGAAACTTTTTTCCCCCTCTCCTATCCCTCTTGCTCTTCGCTTAACTTGTGCTCTCGTTTTGAAGCCTACTGAAGGCAGAGTGACGCAAGCTAACAGGGCCGATCTCTTATTATGTAGAACAGTTGGCCAGACTACACACATCAAAGGTTTTTTTTTTCTTGTTCAGTAAGCTAATAAGGAGCCAGAGGCCCCCAGACAGGGTACAAAATGACACCTTTTTATGGATATAATTTTTAATTCTTATAACCAAATGACTGATCTAAAACACCCCCCCCCCATCAACCACCCCCCCGCAAACACACATCTTAAGACCCCCGGACGCACATAAAAAGTGTAAAAAGCCATAAAAAACGGGAATATTGCGTTCATATGAAATTTGACGGTGAATTATGGTTGTGTGTGTGTAAAACGATATTTTTTGTGTTGGTTTTTTTTCACACCACCTGCATTTAAAAAACCGAGAGAGAATTTAGAGGTGAAGGATTTTCTGCAGACCAACTACCGAGTGATGGAAACAGGGAAACAACTCCTCAGTTGTTGAAAAGGTCGAAAACGTAAGGTTTGCAGTTTTATTTGTTGCTTATATATAGGCTGTAGCTATTTTGGTGACTTTTCTAGACGCCTGGAAACGTGCATCAGAAACTACAGGGAAACTCAGAAAGCTCGCTCTTCGGATATATAAAATTCTTTTTTTTTCATCTTCCTGACTGCACGACTGTGTCGTTTTTCTTTTCCTCCCCACCCCCATGAAAAAGAGCTAACCAGAACTATCTTTTATATAGCAACAACTCTTGTGGTCGGTGAGATAGCTTTCTAGGAAATGGCGAGCTAGAAACGTTGTATAGGCTTGTTATAGATAGTACTATTAAGCCTTCCACCAGTTGCTAGGCAGCAGATTTTCAGGTTTTATTTGTGCAATGAATGAAAAAAAATGAGGATGTTTCAAAGCATACTTCCAAGTCGGATATTTTCTTTGGCTTTCATTTAGTTACAATTTGGGTTTCCTAGATGAAATTTCACTGTAAGAAGAACACCATAGATGGTAGAGCAGCGAATGGCAGAACTGAACAATCTAGCTTGATTATATATATATATGCCATTTCATTCTTTCATGTACACCAGTTAATTAATATAAAATCCATAGAAACCCCTATATTTCTGATATCCATTTCCTGTCAAGATTCAGCCTTGAGCTGTTGAGTTTTACATTGGATCATACCATATACGAGACCATTCATCTGAACACTTCGAGCTCTGGTACGGCTCCAGCAATAAAATACACGAAGAAACAACCCATGTATAAGAAGAGGGTTTTGTACTGGGGATTGGAGAAATAGTGGCAGAATAGTTCCGTTTCTATTGTTCCAAAGCCTGCGAGTTGGGTTGGATAAGAAAGGTAGAAATAATGCACGGTTCTGGTAGCTTCACACTACATTATGTTAATAATATCATCGAGGCAAACCACTTCATCTTGAAAAGACATATTCATTTAAAGTACACCGCGAGTGTACATTATTGAGCACATGTATACCTCTAGAAAGCGTGCAACAACCAAAGCTTGGATGAAGATCAGTTTGGTCCACCAGCTCGGCAACATATGTCTAGAGTTTGCAACGACGGCTCTCTCATTATTTTTTTTTGCAGTTTTAAAACATTAGCGACCAGAGCAAATGCTTCAACGCTTTTCATGAAGTGGGAAATGTCTCTTTAAACAAGAATTTTTTGGTTTCTAGATTGTTTCCACCCCCAGTCTCTATTTGCATAGCCAATAGCTCTTCTGCGCGCGTCCGCAGCACGCTGATTGTTACCGGGCAGAATAACTACTGGCTTTATGCATTCCTTCTCAGGCTACTAGGAGGAGAACCTACAATAACCTTAATATTAATTACCCATAAGATTAAGCAGTAATCTAATGCGCACATCAATGCACTCCGACAACAGAGCGCAGGGACACATAAAACTCAGGCATACTCCGATTATTGTGCCATTTATCGCGAGGGTATTCTAAACGAAATAGTACCTTGTCTTTAAATATTCCGTTCGGAAAGGAAAGTGAAAGAGATGCCAAAATTAAGCCGGTTAATTGAGTCGATTTCTTAATCTGTGGGATCCACCACACCGAGTCTCAAGCTTCGCCTTTTAACTTGTTTCATGTTTCAATTGTGTTAATGAACAATGTACAGTCTACAGTATACCGTCTCGCAAAGAGCATGAACGGATTCATCAGATCTTAAATCACGCGCTACAGAGACTTCCTTAGAAAACACACTTTTGACTTAAAACGACTGTGTTTTACCGACTTTATATATAGTGACACTTTTACAGTCATCTTAAAGAGTCGCTTTTAAAGGGTTGGATGCAAATCAACGTGTTTTTTTTTTTTGCACGTCAATTGACCAAGGTGTTTCCTGAACAGTTAGCAGTTCATCGTCATTGTTCTCAATGGAACACGGAATAAATGGAATAAAATAAGATGATACTAGAAATGTTTGATGTTTGAGTAAGCGACTTAGGAGCACTCAGTGGCAATTTAGTGGCAGAATACAAGCTTCCCGTTCATTTTCAATGCAGTAGTTCAGTGGCTATAGGCTCTTTTTTTAGCATAATTCTAGCTCTGCTCCATCCTATTGCTGTGTTACAACAGTACTGTACTGTGCCCACTGTGCCTTACATTTGAAGAGTTACGACGCGCTTTATAGCAACTGAAGTTAAATCGTAATGTGAACATGAAAAAAGAAGGGGTTTCATACAAGAAAGCCCCCTAAATGTTGTGATTCTCTGTTTAGCTAAGTGGGAATGAACCAAAACTAATCCGACACCTTTTCAACTTGAACCCTTAACGCAGCAGTCCTGTGTTTTACTCCATGTATGTATAAAGGCTATATGATGTCTGTGCCTGTGTGATACATAAAACCCCACTGTTTACACGGCAAGGATTTGTATCGTATGAGTTGATCACGATGCGATTATTTACGTTTCCTGTGGATGTATTCATTAAGGCATTGGATGATCTTATCTGTAAATTAGGCAAACCGATAAAAATGGTTTCCCAGCACAATTCAGTGACTCAGGTAACAAATATGATGCGATTTTATTGTTATTTTACTATTCATTCACGTGCCGGGGGCTTCACATGAATGCTTTTTTTTCATATTTAATGACATTTTTGAGACAGCAGATGTTTAACAGTCTAGGCTCGAAGATAAAAGTACGCCATATGCTATCCCCCCTCCAGAAACAGGGGAAAGAAGTTCAGCGCATCTATTTCAAATATGGACAATTGGGGTTAAATGACACAAAGTATAGTTTTAACAACGTAGAAGAACAGCTGTCGGTGAAATAAAATCATATAAAAAGCATTACTCGCCGTCTTATAGTATTTTTTTTTTTCATTTCCACAGTCTATGCTTCAAAAGACTCGGGTTTGAAACGTTTAACCTGACATCTATGCTTATTTGGAATTTAAATCAACAACTATTGGAAAATGTACCTCTTTTCATGTATTGCGTTTGATACGTACAGCACATGATTTAATAAATTAGATGAGAAAATGTTCCATTTCCTTCCCACGTGTACTGCTCGGTACAGCCTACTGCAGGCTTGGTACAGCCTACTTTATGGTTTCGTTTGAGATAGCAACATGCTGTATTTTCGCGGATTTATGACGTCACGACACTTGATAAAAGTGGGCATGTGCTGAGAGACGGTTTTAGACGCAAACGCTGGAAAGCTTGGTTTTTCGTGTGTGATCAGTCCTGCTCGTTGACTCGTTGAAGGCGAGGTATTGATTCCTGAAGAATTCTCCCATTGAAAGTCCCCGCTCATTCAATATTTTAATGTGCATCTACCAAGTTTGTAATTCGGTACATCTGCAAATTCAAAGAGCTAAACAGCGCTATTTTACAGCACTTCGGAAACGTCTTACAATCTTATAAGCATTGAATTCGATACCTCCAGCGATTTTTAAAAACGACGTAACAAGATAGTATAATCGTTATAATGTGGTTCACCTCAGTTGTCGACTATTTTTAACCTAATGTATATTCTTTGTAACCTGGCGTGCGTGACGTCCCTTTTTATTGTATGTTTGCAAACGATGACGCACAGCGCACAAACAGCACACTTTGGTACAGCTCGGTCTGTTTTAGAAGTATTTGACTTTGACACGCTAAGAAGAATTTCGGATATCGATGGGAAAATTAAAATAGTAATTGAAACAGCCGACATTGGTTTGTTTGTTTTTTTTCTGTAAAGTTAAGGGGAAGCTGGTTCAGGTTTGTTTTTCTGTAAAATAGTTTTCGACTTTTATAGTCGATTATGTTAAAATGTGGTACTTAAATACGCATAATTTGAATGGTAAAGTTGAACATGAAAAATAAATGCAGTATCACATCATCTTGTTCCAGTGTGGATGTAGATTACAGGTACGGATTATCACCATACAATTTTAAGCATATGGTATGTCTAAGAGGCTACTTTCCTCAAATTTGATTACACTTTTTATTTTATAATTTCATTCTGAAACATATATTGTATGTCCACAATACCTCACAGTTGTTCAAGTGAATGTCAAAAAAATAATTTGTATTGAGAGTTGTATCATCCAATGATTATGAGTTATAGTATTTCTGTATACTGTATATGCTGTAAAGAAAACTGTTTTCTTGTCATTTAATAATCATAAATCAACAACACTAAATATTACGTTTATTCTTTAGCCATTATTCATGTAACAATTCATACATATTCCATGCTTAAATGCAAGTATTGCAAAACATTGATATCTGACTTATATTCATACAACTCACAATATTCAGTTCTTATTTAATGAACAGAACGACTGTTACTTTACAACAGAAAAACAGTGTCCAGAAAGGACACAATATTCCTTACAAAACCTGAATACACATAATATCAATTTTAATAACACAGTCTGGTTATGTTTTTTTCTCAATACATTTCTGTTTAATCTAAAAACATATATTCAGACACACATTTTCTAAACGTATAGGCAAACAGCTGCAGTCTGTGTGGGTTTTATGCTGTGTTACTGAAAACATCCACATCTATGTCCTTAATTTCAAAGTGAAACTGAGCATTCAAATGTTATGTAAGTATGACAGCAGTAAAGACAGAGCAGCAGATGTGTAGACCAGATGTGTAGATTAAGTTTTTTTTATTCAAAGTGAAATAAAGCAACTAGAAAAGGCCATTTTGTATACAATATATTTATTTAGACTTTTATTTTCAAACACTAGTTTTACCAACAAATCGTTATCCTTGTAAACAATGAATTAAGTCATATTTTGTGATGAATAGACTTTCCATAAGTTTTATTGAAGTGACTTGGGAAGTACATTTTAATCAGAAATAAAATACTTCACTGCTGTATAAATGTATTATGTGCTGGATGAGCTAATGGTTTTCTGTAAAATCCCTTGGTGTACAGCTTTTTTTTTAGATTGGATTTATGATACAATTTGTATTTGAATCATTCCTAAACTGAACCAGTAATTCAGAAAGTTTGAATCACTGTATCATTTTACACTTTTATGAATTCATAGATGGATTAAAATATTTAAGGGACTATACAGAAATCTTGGATTATCACTATTTTATATTGGTTGATGAGAATAAAATGGTAAATCACAGCAAATCATTGTTTATAACCCACCTGAAAATCATTATTTAAAGCCCATTACATAGCTTAACTTTCTTTCGCAGCATCTACAATGTATCCCCAAGGATACGATTGTGGTCTGAGGATTTCATAAGGAATTCCTAACAATTTTTTGACACATGTAATTCGTATTTAAAGTAACAAAATTGTTCTTTTGATTTAATTGCAATCCACACATTTCAAGAGTTTTGTTTTTTCCAGGTGAATAACATATGCATAAAACATATAGGACTTGTTTGCGTTCAAGCCAAACGTGACTATTATTACACAATTCAATTATCCTGTTTTATTACATTACATTGAACTTTGTAAAAAAATAGAGGAATGTAAAAGAACAAAGAATTTTAATTTAGGAAAATAACAATCATCAGTAAGTACAAATCTTTACTAATTTCATAGGAATTACACAAATAAAACCAAATTATTTAAATAGAAATAATAAGGCACACATAACTTTAAGATATGGTTCCATCAATTTCCTGTCTTAATGACTTAAGGTGAACAGATTGAAAAGGTTTGAGAAACAGTCTTATTTACTGTTTATAGTGTTAAAGCAGTTAAAGAAACTAACCTAACAAGCAACAAAACAGCTTCAAAGTTATTCAAAAAACAGCTCAGATTAAAGTTAATAGATTGATTTCTCTAATGGCTTACAAATTAAACATTTAATTCCATTCAAAAACTACTCTTTTGTAATTTCCTTAGTTAAAATTAACGGCATTTACCTGAATACCTGTTAGCATTTAACACAGCAAGTGTAACCCAAATCTTCTAATGTCAAAAGGGAATAAGGTGTTTTGTGACATGTTCTGAACTCGTGTAACTGTTCATTATTGAAATATTTAATCTTTCATTATATTTCTAACACTGGCACATTATCTCTGGCTTTCAGGAGGAAATCACAAAAAAGTGCGTACTGTAGCTAAAGTGAAGGGAAAAAATCGACAGTTTAAAAACTGGAAGAATAAAGACAATGAAAAGAGAAACTAAAATATCAAGGAATGGAGTACTGAGAGCAAAACATAGCTTTCACTTGTTCATTTGTGCCTTTTTTCAAGTATCTTTAATAGTCTGTTGGGTCGAAAGATGTGAGAAAATATTTGTGACAATAAATGTTAATGTGTTTACTATTACAGGGAAATAGGTTCCCCGACTGAACTCTGAGATGCATCATGGCTCTTTAAAGTTTTGGTAACCTTTCTCGTTCTGGTCTTCATCATATCCTGTGACTACTAAACCATTCCCCTTTGTGCTGAAGTCAGTTAGGTCTGTTATAAGCACCTCATCTTGCTTGTAGTCACATGCGTGTATTCACATCAAATCCTCATTCACAGAGTGGGATTTAAAAATGCGGACTATTCTCCAAATATGTGCAGAAGTGCCCCAGCAAAATGAGCAACAGCTAATCTATTTTTATTTCACGTGCTTCCTTTTCATTGTCAGTAACACCTCAAAGCGCTCTTGACAAATAAAACAGCCTTTTCAGAAAGTTATGCAAGACCAAACAAATAGTCTTAGAGAAATCACAGAACAACTGTTGTGTCACCATCGGGATACACAACATATGTGTTTTTCATTTCTGCATTTTGTTTAAAGAATCACTTAAAACTTTATTCACATCTAATTTGAAAACAGCAAATAGCAGACTAACAAGCGCAATTGAAATGGTTATTTTGATGTGCAATTAACAGCCTTAAGACATTCTGGAATTCTTACCTGTGTGTGTTGAGTGACTATCTGAGCTTAACCTTAACTCTTAGTTTGTCTAAAATGTTTGGGGAACTGAAGAAGAATCCCATCACTGTTGCAGTCCTTCATCACACATCCCCAGTCTTGTCACTGTAAACTCCATTTGCCTCGGTTGTTGATTTGTGAATAAAAAAAAATGGTTGATGAGATGACAAAGCAGGAGCGCTATGCCCAGTTGGGCTTAAAAGTAACTTCTGCCTCATTCCATTAGTTTCTAGACAAAAAAAAAAACCTCTATATCAGGATTGAAAATTCCATCCTTCCCAGAGCTCCTGAATGTACGGTCCATGGTCCCTCAGTATCCGATGGAATCAATCGGATCCATGCAAAAGATGTGGGAGCGTGTCTCCCAGGAAAGCAGAAACATCTCTGGAGCTTCACGGGATTGTGGGATGTCTGTGCGTAATGTCTTCAGCGTGGCGGGAGCCTCCTCTCCGACACAACAGAGTCCCAAGGTATTTGCAATGTGGGATAGAAGTCTGCCGCCAAAAGCCATCCCCAGAAAGCAAAGAAGAGATTTCCTGATGCCGATGCCACGATGAGTTGGGTTTAAAGAAGAAGCACAGACAACCTGAAGAGGGGACAAGGTGGCACAGTGAGATCTTAAGTTTAAAACTTTTCAGAACATCCTCCTTAGATATCAGGCTTTAGTGCTTAGAGTTCACAATACTTAAAGCTGCCCTTTACTCCCACTTCCCTGCAAATTTATACTGTGTATATACATGAACCCTCTGCATTTAACATAATAACAGAAATATGACCAAATACCACAGTATGTGACTTCTTTATTTTGATTCAGCAAACCTATATAACACTTATATATATATATGATAACATACGGACTGATTTTGTGCTGTTAATATATTACTGTGTTGGTGTTCTCATTCATCTTAATATTAGATTAACTGAATTATCGTCATTTCAGGAGCTGAGTATGTTTGTATGAAATAAAAGGGACTTTGATGAGAATCAAAATAGACTTCGACTTTGATCAATAAAACCTGAAAAACTATTAATATATAATATTAATATTAATACACAAATCTTACACTTCTTCCCTCACTTTAGATATTCTATACCTTAACTGAAGACAACATGAGGTTATTTTGCAGCAGTGCAAACTGCAGGTATGTGATTCACATGTTTTCTCTCTTCAGGTGGTGCCCATTTAAAATCACCAGTCAATAATAAAATGAATTTCTGTAATTTTTGCTTTACACTTATTGTCTAGCTTGTTTGGCAGCTTCATACTGTACTTCTACAGCAAAACTGACACAAATACAGAAAATACTTTACATTCAAAGGCATAAGGAGACACTAAAGAAAAAAAAAACTGTGACAATTCTCCATTATGTTTTGCTGTGAGTGAACTAAATGAAACAGGAAGTTTTATGTTTGCTAATGCAACAAAACACCTTGAATAAACTGAAAACACAAAAGAGATGTATTGTACTGTAACTGTCACAGATATTACAATGTATCCTAACACAGCATACAAGGGCTGAAAGGACTTTTGTCTCCAGAAAAAAAATACAGGATAGGAAATTGTTTATTCCTTCATTCCGTCTTCGAAAAGCTGTCGATTCATGGCATTGCCACATCAACCCAGAGCTGATTCAGGAAGCGCAGGGGGTAAAGAGGATGGATGGGATGCCTGTCTATCATAGGACACACCACAAATAAGGCACATCAATTAACTTCACCAACAGGTTTTTACTGGTTGTCAGAAAACCAGAATAACCAGCAAAACCGGGAGAATAGGCAGACACCACAATAGAAGGTACCACAATCTAGAATTGAACTCCAGAACTAAGAGTGGGAAAGCAGGAACACTAAGCTTCACACTGCCGTGTTTCACGCAGCCTTTTCAAACAAAGTAATCCATGTTCCTTTTGCATGCAGCTTGAATGTTTGGAACTGACAGCCCAGAACGCTTTCCTCAGCTCTCTTTATCACTACGTAACATTCTGTGGGGCGTGATTGGTTCTTTATCATCTCTTGAAAGTATCGGTATGTACATCTGCTATGCACTTTGATAGGCTGAATGTTTAGAAACAGGCAGACGCCTAAAATCGTTCAAGATACACTTGCGTTTTTGCTGATTATATTTGTAGTTAAAAGGGTAGAATGAAAAGGACACTTTCTGAAAGACAGATCAACAAAATGAGGACCCCACAGAACAGGTGAAGACTGAAACATATTGATTTAAGGTCATATTTACAGCATATTTTTATGCATATTCATACCAAGTAACACAAGTATCTTTCTTTTTTTCTTGGATTGTGTTCTCCCAGTCCTGCATTCTCTAGGCCCCTGTAGATGTATTTAAACATCTGCTTACCAAAGTCAGTCATTTTCTTTAGGCTGAAAGCTCCTTTCAAATGGGACTTGTAGATTTGCAGCTTGGAGGTTGGGCCAACCCTGTGCTTTTACCAATGGCGGAATTTTAGCATGCTCTGTCAAAACAGTAGATCTTAAACTTTCATCTTAAAGGATAAAAAATATTTTAAGGAACATTCTTCCTACCTGCTGTGGATATGAATGTGTCTCCTGATGAAGAGACTTCAGATGCTGATAATGCATATTAAATAATGGTGCTCCCAGTTCACTAGTGACACAACTGCTATTATTAATTGCTGTTATTAATTTCTCAGACAGTCCGACCATGTAGCATGTAGCTCTAAACTCTGCATCTTCATGTCTTCATTGTTCACAAGACTTATGTCTCCAGCAGTGTTAACTACAGGTGTTACCTTGTACCATCTATATTACCTCATAAATACACACGTGATGCTGCATGTGACGTATTTATTATTGATTTTAAACCTGGCATCCTGGAAACATACAGTGGCTTAGTTACTATCTGATACCTAAGCAGGTGTAGCATGGATTCAAAACAGAGAAGCTTTCTGATTTTTTTAAATGGAAGTGGAGTGAAGACAGTGTGCTCTGGTTTTATTTTATATCAGAATACAGTAAAGACCTGATGTGTTTTTCTACTATGCGTCACTGAAAAGCAAAATGTTCACATTCTAAAACCTAAATTCTTTTTTTTAAACGTCATTGCTTAACAAGCACTATAGTGCAGAATAGAAGGGAAGGGTTTCCCTGTTGTCTCCGGTCCTGGCTGGGGAAATGTTGTCTTGTCTTTCAGCAAGGTCCTTCATTCAGATCGCTGCATTAAAATGCTCTGCTGTCACATTGGATATAAGTACCAGCAAACTGAAGTAAGTGACATTAGCTGCCACACATTGTTAAAGCATCTGCATTAAATTTAGGCTGTCAGCATCAATTAAGTATTTGGGATCTAAGTGAAAATTATTGTTTTTTCCATTTTTTTCTTGAAGGAAAAGAAAGAGCATTACAGATCTTTCAATTTAAAATCAACACCCCTGCACCAAATACTGGCTTGAATTACCAGTGTTTTTGGCATTACAGAACTCCCTCAGACATTCTTTATATACAAAGACATCCTCCCAAATTCTTCATAATGCACTCGTATTAACTCAATAAAACAAGAAAAAAGGAACAAAGTTGAGTTGTCTCTTCTGTGCTTCTAAACAGTCAAGATGCAGTTTATAACGGGCCCATTTCAGATTGGGACCCAGGCCTTGTTCGGTCTGCCATTAGCGAGAAAGAAACAGGTAATCACAGCTGTTTGTCCGAAAAATCAGTTCTGTTCCTTCAGAGTAAGCCTGCATTATCAACTTTCTTTCCTCAGTCAAACACAAGAAGACGTCAGTGATTAACTTACCTTTTGCTAACCCCATTTGGGAATTTGTGTGACCTTCACATGTGTAAAAAAGTCTAGCATACCACTTTCCTGCAGACAGCTACCTAAGTGTAGAGTCTGCCAGTAAGCCAAATATTTCCCCCTGAGCTGAAGATACTTAGTATAAGTTTTGCTTTCTTTCTCACACTCATGTAACACAACAGCGCATTTTTGTGTCATGCGGCTCAGCTGTTGCTGTGTCTTCATCCCCCCTTCGGTCGGATTTTCCCATGTTCATATCGATAGCCCTTGAGTTCCTTCTGTCATACAACAGCTGCTCGCTGATATCACACAAGAGTCCAATTTTTTTTTCTCCCTTCGCAACCCCCAAAGTGAGATTGTGAACAAAGACATTGTTAGTGGAGGCTGATAGGGAAACAAGGACTTCTGGGTCAGGTTGTGTCGCTCAAGAATTTATCCCCCCCACCCCACCCCTCCAAAAAATGCCTGACCGCTGACTGTCAGGCAATTTAACTTCTGCTCCGAAATCAAGGGAAAATTCTTACTTTTTTACAGCTGTCCTTCTGTTACTTAACGAATCCTGCCTTTGTGATGGGTGAAGTCAAACTAAATGTGCCATATTAACCACTATAGAGTATAGAGAAGGATTCTCAAACTACAATAATTTTATGTTTGATAGCTTTCACACACCCTCCTGGGATAAAGCTGAAGTAATCATTTTTGCTTCCTGTTGATGTTTCCCATTTTTCCAACTCTGTTCCTCTTTCAAGCAAACGATACGCCTGAATAGCACCAAATGGCGATTTAAGTCCTGGGAAAATGACAATGAAACCCTATTAAATAAAATCAGAAGTAATTATATTTCACCTACAGAGTCAGAATACATGGTTCTCCAATTCAGCACTGTTTTCTGGTTACAAACTGCAATCACAGTGTCAAAGTTATCACTATCAATTTAACAAATTGTTAATTGCCAGTAACAATTTAACAGATTACAAAATGTCAATAAAAATCCACACCATAGTTAAATCTATGGGATTATAAATGTTGCTAGATTTTAGCTGCCATCTTCAAATTAGTTTTATTGAAGGTATTGCTCTTGAAAATGACAATGTGTATATTTTTCCCTTACTAGCATGTGCTCATTGAGATTTCTGTATCTTTAAAAATTTAAATCATATATGTGTTAAGTTCTTAATTACTTGTGCTATTCTGATTACATTTCTCCATAACATATAGACATACAATCAATGTCTATTTTTCCCATTTCCATTTCTGACTGGATCTGCTCTGGATCTGCTCTTGTTGCTCAGCATCGTGTATTGATATATTTTTTTATGAATGATAGCAACTGGGTCAGGTGAATTCCAATTTTACCCAATCAACATTAAAAACAGCCTAAAAAAAGGAACCATTTCAATCATTCACAATAAATTGCATGAGTTGTTATGAGAACAGAATGTCTCAAAATTGTTATGGTTAGCAGGAATGTTGTAATTAGGCAGACTGTTTTTGCTCAAAAGAGGATTTACTTGAAGCAGCCTTTTTATGATACAAAAACATGCAATACATATACGTGGTCCGCTTGAGCAATAATTTATTTCATCTGATGATCTAATTTCTTTATTGTTGCATTTGTTTTATCACTGCATTAAACACAAGTCAGTTTCAATTAGAAAATAATCTTGCTAATTAAGCAGTCAGCCACATTAATGGCTGAAAATTCAAATATTCAAATATTAAATGACAGATAGAGATGGGCTTACTCTGAGGGAAAAAAAACATATCTGCTATGTTTTTGAGGTAATAGACATGTGGTAATACACATACTTAGAAGT